CTTGGTGCAATTTCTTCGAAAGGTTGCATTGATTTGAAGGTAAGAAATCCCAACAAACTCGCAGCCAATAAAAAGAGAAAGTTAGACTCTACTGTAGGTCAACGTGAGGCTAGAGGTACCACAGCAAATCACATATTCTCGTTTATCAAAAGCGTAATCAAGAAATTAGAAACAAACGAGGAACTTAAGGGAATGAAGTACTTGATTCTTGATAATGCTGCCATCCATAAACGCCGTGATATACAGTTATTAATTGCTCTGAGTGGATTGGAGCTAGTCTATTTACCCCCTTATTCTCCAGCATTAAATGCCATAGAAGAATTTTGGTCAGTCTGCAAGTCTAAAGTAAAACGTTCTAACCTAAGTAAAAAGGAGCAATTAACTCCAAAGGTGAAAGATGCCACAAGTAAAATCTCTATTGAAAGCTATGAAGGATTTTGTAGACATGCCAGTGAACATATTGAATTGTGTAGAGAAAAGCGATTATTCTAGATGAAATAGGGAGAGAAATCATGAGAGGTTCTTTTGGCCTTGTTTTCGATTACATCTAAGCACGATTCTCTAGATGTATGCTACACGAATGACCTCAGTTGTGGGGGGCTTACATTTTTTTTGAGGTATGAATATGCTGGCCCAAGTATGAATAGTTCCGGCCCCTATTATGAAATTTGGCTTGCCCGTATTACGAAAAACTCCGGGCCGAGGGTTCGAATGTACTTTGGAAACACTGTAAGATCCAACCAGAAACCAGTATTGAAAATTTTCTTTGTTCTGCTAGATATCAATCATTAATTTATGCTGCCTTCAGAACTACCCGTCACCAGTATAAACATTTATTTCCGGTACAATATTTCCAAGATGATAGTCTGACCTGCGCTAACAGGATGTCGCATTCATTTTTAATGTTTGTATGGTACCATTAGGAAGTCTCTATCAAATTTACTTTAGGTACAATCCATGGGGCAAAAAATCGTTAGGAATTAAGTTTGGAAATTTACTCTACTCTTTTAAAAATCTCTATGTGTCAGAAATAGTGTCAATATATGGCACAAAAATTATGTCGTCAATGAAGGCTATGAAAAACTGGAAATGCGAAATGAACATCGAATTCATAACAGAACATTTCTACATAACACTAATATATAATACGGAAACAGAATGTATCTTCTAAATATTTAGTACTTTTAAATTAATGGCAAAACTGTTCAATGGGTTTAAATCTGGGGAAAATATGGGCAAATAGAGGATAAGGGACTTTATTGAATTGAACAACTCCGTGCAAGCAAAAAGCACCTAAAATGGTAATATCTTCAGCTTTGGAATTGGGAGTCTTAACAACGAGTATTACCCTTGGGAGATCATGCACCCGAGCGCCTCATGTTAATCTTTGCTTAATAAATAAAATCAAAGTTGCTAGGATATTCTAAGATTTTATTTACAAAATCCAACTCACTAGAAGCATTTAAGGAGAATTCTTCTCTGTCCTTTCTTTGCGAGCAAACTTGAACGTAATCCATCAATGCATTTCATCAAGAATAGCTAAAAGGTTTCGTTCAATGTAGCCCATGCTGGAGTCTTATGAATCTCAAAATCAAAATTAATGCATAAAAGAGCGGACTATCACTTGATGCAGTAGAAAATGAAGCACATTATGAAATAGGAACAGATATCTAAAGGTACCTATCTTAGTGACTATATAGTTGCAAACCTTGAATCACAAACCAAAACACCCTACGAAGCAAATTTATCATTGCTAAATGTATTCCGGCTCCAAAAAAATTAAACACCAATGTCTCGTGCTAACCTTGTGCAACTAAAAGTCTTGATTGAATTCATTCTTTGAGTCTAGAATATTCAATTTGAAATATATTCTTAATAGGGAATGTAAAATAGCTTTCTTCGCATTGCTTAAAGAGGAGTTATGTAGAAAAAAGGGGGTGGAAATTAGAGTAAGGAACGTACAACTTGGAGTTTTACTTCGTTGCTGTGTTAAAGCTGATATTCTGTTGTAATTAATTCCAAATGTATTAATCAGATTGGACTGTATCATAACAATTGAATTTCATTACAAACTGATAGTTTCCAAACAAAATATAATATATTAATGGGAGAGTGTTCTGTTCGACTTTGTGAGCATAAATACAAATGGTTTCTTAAGAATTCATATTTCAAATGGAGTTTTTGAGAGACGCAAAATGAATCAATTGAAATTTGCAGCAGAATTTCACTCACTCCTAATCCCAAGCCACTGCCAGACCACTTCCACCAGGCACCCTTACGGGTTTTGCCTGTAAACCACCCCGAAAAGATCGTCCCCCCCTCTACTTCGCGACCGCTCCAGCTGCCAAACCCCGCCAAAGACCCTCGCTCGCTAGCGTTGGCTCAGTGGCGTCGCTGATCTCGTCGCCCACCCCACACATGGCCTCTGCGTTCCAAGGAGACTTGTTGCTAGACTTCGCAATAATACCAATCCAGTAAGTTCAGTATTGAAAAATATGAATATGTAAAAGAGCTTTGTAAATATATTATAATTTGTGCCAGAAGGATACAATTGGAAGGAGAAAATGATTTAATCGAAAAGTTCGTAGGAATATCTTGAACAAGGTTTCTGGGTCACAAATTTAATTTTGGAATCAAGAAAGTCGATAAATTTCCTGATGGCATGTAGAAGATAGAAATCCCTACACGAATTAATCGTTTTCTACATAATTATAGTTGAAAATAGCAGTTTATCCCCAACCATACTATAAGTGTCTATAGACATGCTTTAGGAATCGTAAGTCTAGTCTTCAGATTTAGACTGACTTACAGTGCCTTCCGTCCAAAGACTAAATGTTACACTGTTTCAAAATACCTTTATTATGAATGGAAGATTAAGCATCTGGTGTCAAAGTTGATATTAGGCTGTGCGGCAAGAGAGGAAACGGTACCCTCTTAATCTTAGAATCTGACGTTGAATATCTGTCCAACTGTGTTTTTATTGATGAAGCAGGTTTCAATATCAACATGAAGTGGTCGGGAGCGTGGGCTCCCAAAGGTAATACTCCTATTGTTAAGATTCTCAGTACCAGCGCTGAAAATATTACCATTTTAGGTGCTATTTGCTTCCAAGGAGTTAAAAGTAGAATTTATTCAGAGCTTTACGTTATACAGTGTCTATTACGACATACAGCCATCTATCGTTAGCGCAGGACAGTTGATTGGAAGTCTACATTTCTCATGTTTAGTGCAATTTAATTGATTAAAGCATTTGCCTTATATGCAATTAATGTTGGATCAATCTCTTCTCTAGGTATATGACACCTATCCCTATCTTTTTTATATATATATAATGTGATCATATTAAACTCGTGTTTTTCTAAGCGGAATAAGTAGTTTATTAAGAGTATCATCATTATACTTTTTAAGGGGTGGGGTTGCTTCAGCAATTATATTATTAGTTGCATGCTTCACAGTTAGTTTGAGTTCAGATGTTGTTTTGACGATTACGATTTACGTTATACTGTACCAAGCAATTGGGTGCCACAAAGATGTCCAGTTAATTTGCGACATTTAGTTGGTATGGAGATTATTCCTCCTAACATATTTTGTGATACAGCCTCTATTGATTGTTACGTAATTTCTTGGTAATCTATTTAGGCATTGCAGATCATCGCAATTGAAAAAGAAATTGGTACTTGAGAAGCCGAATGGAAGCTATAAGGAGTCGCTTTCTCCAACCGATATTGAAATCGTTCGTTGCACTTAAGTACTCGGTATCTGAAAGCAAAATGATAGTTTCTAGTGCACTGGGCAGGGAACTATTTGAAAAAATGGGTAAACCCAAAACCATTGTGGCTCCTATGGTTGATCAGTCAGAGTTGGCTTGGAGAATTCTTTCCAGAAGATACGGAGCTGAACTTTGTTACACACCAATGTTTCATGCCCGCTTATTTGCTACCGAGGAAAAATACAGAAAAAGCATGTGGAGTTCTATGGATGGGGATGTGGAAAAGGATAGGCCATTAGTTGTTCAATTTTGCGCCAATGACCCTGATTATTTGTTGAAGGCAGCAAAGCTAGTTGAAGATAAATGTGATGCAGTTGATTTGAACTTAGGCTGTCCTCAAGGTATTGCAAGAAAGGGAAAGTATGGTGCATTTTTGATGGAAGATTGGGACTTGATCCATAATTTGATCAAAACACTAAGTGATAATTTGAAAGTTCCGGTCACAGCAAAGATTAGAATTTATGATGACAAAGAGAAATCTCTAGAGTATGCTAAAATGGTTTTGAAAGCTGGTGCACAACTTTTGACTGTACATGGAAGAACTAGAGATATGAAAGGCCAGGCCACAGGATTAGCCAACTGGAAAATTTTGCGATACATTCGAGATAATCTCCCCGAGGATCAAGTATTCTTCGCAAATGGAAATATATTGTACCCGTCTGATATCGCGAAATGTATAACCGAAACTACTTGTGATGCAGTGATGTCCGCAGAGGGTAACCTATACAATCCAGGTGTGTTCTGGACAAAGGATAATAATAAAGAAAAGCAATTCCCAAGAGTTGATAAAATTCTAAGAGAGTACTTTGAGATAGTCAAAACTTGTCAAAGTGATGCGTCAAGGCACTCAATGAAAGCACACTTTTTTAAGTTGTTGCATGCTTTCTTAAATGAACATAAAGAGTTAAGACCAATAATAGGAAAAACCAGTGTCCACTCACCATTTGAAGACTGGGAGAAAATTGTTCTCCAAGTAGAAGAGTTGGTGGAATCTATTTTCAAGAATCCGAAAATTGAACAGATGGACTCCATTATAGAGGGGGCACAAGAGCCATGGGGGGGCTCTTATAAGACCATACCGTATTGGAGATGTCAACCATATTTCAGGACCGTGAATGGAGAGAAACAGAATACAAGAGTTCTCAAGATTGCAGGTGAGGTAACTGAACAACAGATGCTGAGCAAACGAAAGGCTGGGGATTATTCTAATTCGAACTCAGAGATTAAAACAAGGAAGATTGATGCTGAAGTAAATAATATCTCCACAACTACAGTTTGATTCGCAGACAGGCATAACATTTGAATTAGGCACAGTAAATAATGAAGTAATAAGATTTTTATGGCAACAGACTACTCACCCTTTGAAAGGGTGTCACCTTCCCACCATTCGAAACCTAATCCGTATCCCCAAGGATCGTTGATATATCTTTTTGGCTTGTCTGCTCCGATTTGATACAAGGTCTTCAATTCTTCCTTGGAAAGTTGTGGGATAACAACATTAGCCTTAATTCTTTCAAGATTAGACGATCTTGGAATTGAAATGCGGCCATCATTAATATGGTAAGCGTTGGCAACTTGGTTCACAGTAACTTCATATTTATTAGCCAACTCTTTCACGTATGGAAGCTTCAACACTGGGGCGCCAGTGCTTCCGACTGGACTGTATGCTTCAATTAAGATACCATGTTCTTGGCAAAAGTCGACCAAATCTTGTTGTGGTAATTGGGGGTGGTATTCAATTTGGTTAAGAACTGGAATAAACTTTTTAATCTTAGGTAAAAGCTGCTTCAATTTAGGGATTGAGTAATTGGAGACGCCGACAGATCTTGCCTTATTGGTATTCAATTTAATGTCTTCAATCTTGTTGTAGAAATCAATGAACTTGGTACCGCTGGCAGGATCGTCGTCGAAGATCACATTTCCATTCCCATCCTTGGGCACTGCAGGTTCTCCATTTTCATCACTTTTAAAACACACAGGCCAATGTTGCAAAAGTAAATCAACGTATTCGATTCCCAAATCAGACAATGACTTGTCCAACGATTTTTCAGGATTATCATGCAAAGAAGGCCAAACTTTAGTGGTAATGTATAAATCTTCACGTTTGTATCCATCAGCAAAAAGTTCTTTAAGGGCTTCACCAATATACTTCTCAGTGCCATAATACCAAGCTGTATCAATTAAACGATATCCGGCCTTAACAGCAGTGATAACTTGTTGTTTGACTTCACTTGGATCCTCAGGTGGAACCGTACCTAATCCGAGAGCTGGAATTTGATTACCATCATTGAGGTCAAACTTAATGTCAGTTGCAATTTTGTTGGGGGCCATTATAAATTTATGAAGATCTGATCTGTAGAAATCGAATTGAACTAAATGCAGCGCTACTTATACTTAATAGTGGTTGCTCTGAGAACACGACCGAGCAATTGCGGTTGGCCGATTGCTCGGTCATATCGCAATCGCTGACTAATTTCCGCACTACGTTGTTTGCTCACATGAACTGCACATTAATCTTCTATTTAGCTAGATCTCCATATCCCCAATAACGTCATTTGCTTCATCGTCCAAAATTAGTTCTTCATCCAGATAGTCTTGCATATAAATATCTTCATCTTCGCCATCGCTACTAATCTTGTTATTATTGGAATTCAATTCTCTAGAATTAGGATTGGCTTGATTGCTGTTAATCATCGAGTAATGAATCTTATTAATTGCTGTCAAGTAAATGAAGGCCACCCTCTTTTTTTTCTTATTGTAGACAAACCAGTAGTAAGACCACATTGTTTGATATGGATAGCTCAAATCCTCCAAAATGGACTCATCTGAAGGTTGGAACTGAAAGATCTGACAAGAATCGTATAGATTATACTGAGGACTAGTGTTGTTGGGTATTGAAGCACTCCTTGGTACAGAAGATTGAGTACTGAAACTATTTTTTCTTGATGAGCTCCCTCCATTATTCTGTGCTGCCAATCTGGGGGAAGATGACTTTGAGGGTATCAAATCCATGTAAACATTCACTGTATCCCAAATCCAATTCAAAATTTCCTCCTTTTTCCCCAATGACACCATTATATTATTAAATCTGCCAATAAAATCCTCTGCGTCATTTATTCTATGAAAATTTTCAGTGGTAGGTTGTAAATTGGAAAAGTCATGATCAGGATATGTGCTATTCAAAATAGCTATGAGGTAGGCGAAGGTTTTTCTGGTTGTAACATTCTTCAATGGTCCGAATGGGGACTCATCTAAGTTATCCGTTTCGAGAAAATGCTCATTTAAAGAGGTAGTTAATAACGAGTCTCTCGGTACAGATGATACCGAAGATCTTCTAAAAGACTCCACGGCAGAGTCCTTTCTCTCCGTATAGCTTCCTCGTCTGTGGAAGGCCCCACCTGGAGGACTGCTACTACTTCCAAACAAGTGAGAAGCTGAGTTCTGCCTTTCACGTTCAATCGATCTAGATAACTGATTATCCTTCAAAATCTGGTCCAAATGCTTGTCGATAGTCTTGAATAACTTTCTGTCCGACCCAATTGGTTTAGTTGTAAACAAATCACACCCACCTTTGATCACTAGATTGTTGTCTTGTGAATGGAAATTGAGCTCCTCATTGACTAACTCAATGTCTACTTCTTCGATAAACTGGTGTTAGTTGACTCGTGATCGCGTACATCTCGAAGACCATTTCACTTTCAACGTACCTTCATTGTTTGTTATACCTGTGTATATGAACTCACTTAATGAGTATGGGCTAATTGGTGGAGTATTGGGCTACTTCCAACTGCACGTTAGCTCCACGTTGATTGTCTGTGGTCAATTTGGTTGTTCAGGTGATTATCATTTTGTTCTGCATGGGCGTCGTACACGACCATTTGCGCACATGATCACCAGCACCCACATGTATTAATTTTTCTCCGATAACCCCATACTACCTAATTCAAACTCGGTTCGATTATCGAGGATACGAGGATTTGTCGATGAAGTTAGCACTTGCATAAACCTCCGCACATTCCAGCCTTCAATCACCGGATGATCTGACTCTCTTTTTCGTATTGGAATCTCTTGATCGGCATTTGACTTGATGTCAAAACCGTCACAAAGCTGAGTATATGTTAAACCACTTTCTGGATCCCTTAAACTCGTATTATCTTCATTTCTGATTATAGGCTCATAATATTTCATTAGAAGAATACGGTTGTGAATCCGCTTACTCCATGGATATCCTAAAGTTGGTACATGCTTCGTTGAGTTTTTTCGATTTGTGTGATCCGCGTCAGGCTTCCACAGAGGGGCATGTTGGAAACGTGGATCAACAAAATCTGCCTTGAATCTTTTGGCTTCTTGAAATTGTGGGCCATGTACATGCGAACTCATGCTTGTTAGCCCTAAATTCAGAGCTTCACCATTATAATGGCTGAAATGTTCGTAGATCGTAGATTTATCCCATCCAGAATTAATAGCCACTTGGTAATCCATGTTTAATGCATCTTCGTCGTGATCCCAAATCGAAGTGACATCACTGACTTGATTAACAATTGCTATGGCTAAGTTATTTACCTTAGCGAGTCGAATTAAATGACGATGAAGCAAATATAAGTAAAGGAACTTAGATGTTCTATTCTTATATGTTATCGATTGTTTTACCTTTTTCAACTGTTGTTCGTGAGTAAACTTGATATCCGTATACTCTTTACAGGGCTCTATTTGAGACTCGAGCTGCTTGATCCTGTCTACTAAATATGTTGAGTTTGTAATTGCATTCTCTCTTCTAAAGTGGTGAGCGATGCTATCGATGACAATTAAACCCACATTCTTTTGCTTGAGTATGGTTGGCAATTGTGTGTAGATAATATGATCTTGACTTTCCAAATCTTGACAGTAGACGTAAGATATGGCATCCATCAGTACATCTTGACCTTGTTCCTTGTAAGCTATATGTGCATCGTTTAGTCGTTTTGTCTCCAAGAAAGACTCGGTACATATGTATATCACTTCCCTCGATAGCTTTTGACATTCTAATGTTAATTGAAATAAGAGGTGAGACTTCCCTGTTCCACTAGCTCCAAATATTTCAGTAATTTCACCTTGAGGTAAGCCACCCCCAAGCTGTCGATCTATACTGGGCAATCCTGTTTTTATGTACTCATTACAGTTCAAGATCTTCGTCAAGCTATTCCGAGTAAGTGTCGGCTCAATATCGAGTTTGAGCTTTTGCACATAGTCTTCAACCTCTCTCTTCGATCTTCCAAGAGCCTTGGCTAGGGTAATCAAATTGTTCTTGTGATCATAGCAAAGCAAATCAACAACTGTCTTTCCGTACGCTTGAATCAATGCTGCTAAGGATGGAAATGCATCAGCTGCCAAATGTTCCCCGGGTGAAATTTGTTTGAACTCATCCATAAGAGATTTAAATTCGCGTAGACGATCTTCCTATCAACAGGAAAAACTGAGGTATCCAAAAAATAGTACAAAGTTGAATTATCTAACTAAACAATTAAATAGGTGTTTATGTAAAGTGTTGTCTTGCCTTGGAAATGAAGAAATCTCTTGATTTGTATTTAACTACAAGGTTAGGTAACGCAAAACCAAAGGCTGTTCCAACACCCCCGTTTCTCGAAATGGGAACCAAAAGCATTGGTGCAGACGTGTTGTCATAGGACTTAAGCTTAACTTGCACGCCAAATATCTCTTGATCGATGGTTTTATCAAACACGCTCTTCTGATAGTACACGATATCCACAAGAGACCTAAGACTTCCAGACAAAACATCACCAATGACCAAAACTTCATTATATCCTTTTAGTCTCAAGTACTCGTCAGCAATGAGATACCCATTCGCATCAAGGACCTGTTTGTAATTCTTCAAGAACAGTGAGTTTGGAGTGGTACTATGAACAGGAATCACTAGGTCGAATTCCCTCGTTTCCTTGTCATCAAGTGTAATTACAGTTTTATTAGCACTTGAGTCAATTTTAGCCACTTTTGCGTTATTAATGACCTCCACTCCATAACTCTTAAGCTTGTTAGTGGCATCAACTCTAATCGACTGCTTTACTGCTGATAATGGATTGCTCGAACCTGTATAAAGAGTGATTCTCTTGTCATCGTATTCAGATCCTAGTTCACCAGCAATCTCCACACCAGTTGCACCTCCACCAATAACTGCAATACTGTCCGCCTTCTTGATTGAGGCGATCAACTCTCTGACACCCTGTACTGTATATTTCTCATCGTTGATGTCATCAAGCTTGAGCCCAGGTTGATGATATTTTGTTCCGGTGGCAATGATTAGATTATCGTACTGGAATTTCTGACCATCTGCCAAAGAAACGATTTTTTTCTCGAGATCAACAGTATCCACTGAACCCTTGATAAAAACCGCATCTGACTTTGAAGCAGAGGAGAGATTACGTATAGTTGCTTCAATATCAGTTAGAGTTTTATCAATTAGTTCGGGTTCAATTAGTAACCTTGGTGCAGCAATATTGAAATAGCCGAATTGTGATGGGGAAATGATCTTCAAATTCACTTTCGCCCCATGCTTCTTCAGAAGGATGCTTTTGGCAGCGTACATAGCAGAGTATGATCCCCCAACAATAATAACTTCTTTGGTCATTGTATCTTAGAGTGGTGATGTATGTGGGTAATCTTACAAGTACATTGGGTGCAATAGTACCTTTTATACCTTTTGACCTTACGGGAATTCTTCCGCTTAGGGTCTTCGCTGTGGTGTCAAAACTAAGCAAAAATAAAATCGCGATTTGTAAGACGCAGTTAAACGGAGATGCCATTTATAAGCTGCAAAATGAATTACTAGAATAAGAACGAAGTACTTGTGGCTTAGTTTGATGAGTGTAGTTAATAATGGTTTACTAATTTGATGCCCCCAATCATCTCATTATCTGCCCTCCACCCCAGCGTACTAAAAGTATGCTTCGCCCATTCGGCAATTGGACTTCGTGCAGACTACAGGAAACAACAAATGAACATAAAAACTAATACATTGCTAAAGTACGTACTTCAATTTTCATGTGGCTATAAAAGCTAGGTGAAGATTTGAGCCTCAAGTATCTAGTGAGCACCAGAGATGAAGAACCATTTGTCAACAGACTTATCAATTGGAGCAGCTGGAGCTGGAGCAGCAGCTGGGATCTCTTGGGCGGCAGCTTCAGCGAAAGTTGGGGTGCTTGACAAAGTAGTGTTGGTCAAGTCGATGTCCTTAGAATCAACAGATTCACCCTTGATCAACTTGTCCCAAGCTTCAGCGCATTCGCTAACGATTTCTTCGGCATACTTCTTGTTCTTACATTCACCAGAGAAAGCGAATTGGTTTTCTGGCTTACCATCAGGGATCTTGTAAATTCTGAACCATTCGTTGGTGGCTCTCAACAAACCTGGTAAGTGGGTCTCCACATCTTCAATGTCGTTCAACTTAGAGGCCAATGGATCATTAACGTCAATAACAATAATCTTCCAGTCAGTTTCACCTTCATCCAAGAGAGCCATGACACCTAAAACCTTGACTTGCTTGACTTCACCGACAGTAGCAACCTTTTCACCAATTTCACAGACATCCAATGGATCGTTGTCACCCTTGGCCTTGGTTTCTGGGTGAGTTTGGTTTGGGTCTTCCCAAGTTTGAGGGAAGGCACCGTAGTTGTGGATGTAACCGTGGTGAGGGAAACAGTTTCTGACAAATCTCAACTTACCCTTCTTGGTGTCTTGAATGATTGGGTTCAATTTCTGTTCTTTAGAAATTTCCAACTTAGCGTTGGTCCATCTAGGAACCTCAACAATCATGTTCAAGATAGTCTTTTCTTCATTGGCGTACAAAGGAATATCATGGAATGGGGAAACTGGCTTACCATCCTTTTCGATGTAAACCTTGTAGTCTAAAGTGTTGGCTGCACCAACTTGACGAGTAGTGTAAGACATTGTAGCTAATATAGATTAATTCGTAGAAAGAATTCGAATTCGTTTGAGCCACCTCTTGGAAAAAAGGTACACGCGAATGCTTGTTGGACAATTTCGGGTAACCCTTGGCTAATTAATCACGTTTTCTTGCCTCAACTGGCACGTGCATGAGAACCTTTCTGAAAATATAGGTATTTATGGAATGGGACAGATTGTTCAATACGTTCATCTCAGCTCGTTTTAGCAATATCAAGCCTCTTGTAAGCTCTCTATGCCACTTCTTATTTTCTGTTCTTGAAATGTACTCAATTTTTGTTAATTCTTTCAAGAAATTTAAAAGAATTTGTATTTCACGATCTGTGACATCAAACCAACCATTCGAGAAATCAAGTAGGAATGCTCCTTCAAGACTAATTTGACAGACTTGTGCATACTGATTACAAATCCTTAACCCATATACATCAGAATCTACAAAACCTAAAATTCTGCTGGCATTATTGGCAATTGAGGACAAGAAACTTCTGGTTAGGGTATCTGGAAATCCTTTTCCTGTAAGGACAATTACATTGGGATTTATGTATCCCTGTAACTTGTACATGCTTTTTAGGTAATTGCAAAAGCTCTTGAAGACAGCCTCTTTCTCTAGAACTATGATTGTTTGTTTAGTTTCCAGTTCAATTGGGTCACTCGAAAAAGGGATGAGTATCGGATCATTACAGTAAGATAGGCCCAATTCTTTACATTCCCCATACATTAAACCCTTCTGAGACGGGAATATTCTAAGATCTCTTTGGAGAGACAAAGAAAGTGAACTTCCAATCAGTTGCAAATATAGTTTACATGTCCGCTGACTTTGAAAGACATCCACACCTTGGTAAAAGACGTCTCTTACGGTTGTATGCTTACTTTTTTCGCAGGTCAATTGAATTAGCATGAGCTTGAGACATTTTATAATTGATAAGAAGCGAGCTGTATCGTTCGAAGTAAGTCCAAATTGCCATATGAGTGTAGTGGAATCGAGGTTATCAAATGAGCGTTTACGGGATGGAACATTCAAAGCTAATACCATATCATTGTCCTCAAGTATGCGCTCTTTAAGCTTCACCCAAATGCTGAGAAGAAGCTCCTCAGGATCACTATACTTTAATTAGTATGGATTCAAGATGCTTGGTCACATACAGCTTATCTGGCACAAATCGTATCTGTGGAAAGGTTGAATTCGGTGAATTTGAGAGTGCCCGCAAAGTTAAAGTATGCTTAACCATAATGAATGGACAGCAATGTATACAACATTGACCTTATTTGCTGCAAATGTATGTAATTTCATTGAGACCCAAAGTGCAATTGGTTTGCAACTTTGAGGCGCACAAACAACTGCTTGTTATCGGCGTTTATTTTGCTAGTTTACGAATACTGTGATATCTATGTTCCACGAGTACAAGCACTCCTCGAAGTCCACCATGTTGGAGGAAACCGAGCCATTGGAATTTAGTTCACGCCGCACCACCAATTTTGTGATACTGATGCGTGATGCAAGTAGAATCAATCTGGGGATTTGTTCGTAAAGCTAAAATAGAAGGTAGGCGTTGAACCCTAATCAATCTCGGGTAGGATAACAAGGCGTTAAGCTACGATAACTTTACGGTGGTGTAATCATCAATTTTGTACAGAGCCCTACGAAGCAAAGCATGCTGGTTATGCTTAGCGGGACTTTACGGACTTCACGGACTTCACGGACTTCGCTACTATTCCGCGCTCTACCTGAGAAATTGGAATGACATCCTTAGCCTCGTTCTGTAAGTGTAATACATTTCCCGCATAAAATCCATAGCCTCGTGTGCACGCGTGTCGGGGTCATTTCTTAGTAGTTTCCAATTCATAGGTCACGTTTTCACCTCGATAGATCCCCTTAATAGCAGAACTTTTTTCTGGAAATTTGTTGCGTACTACTCGATCATCTAGAACTAGGTAGATCACATACGAAAACCTACCTGGATTGATACCCAACGCTGTCAATCCAACATTATTTATACAACTACTGGTATTAATCCATACTATTGATCGAATCTTCTTGTTCTCATGGCCCCCTTAAAAGTATTGGAGAAATCAGTTCCTCCTTTGACAGTGGACTTGAAGCGAAGATTGTGGAGCACTAACGGAGTTCTCATCAGTGGATCTGCAAAATGGGCTTTCTTCGCTATACTTATTGTGTTGATTATTGTTGTTATCTTAGGTACTTTAAGGGTTAACAAAAGAAGATCCAAGTTCGGGGCACAACCACTTTATGGTACTCGCTGGATGACTCCTCCTCTGTATCGCCAATCACAGACACAGTACAACCAACCAAACAGAAGAGACCCCGAATTGCCAAGTGCTTACGTTCCCACATATACTGCCACTGCTAACGAGACAGATATGGGCTACTACGATGCACATGGCGAATTTCATCCTAATCCGAATGCGAAGTCGGCCACTGTCATTCCTCCGCCAGAAGCCCATCATAGACAAAACAGTACTACTAGCAATGGTGTACCTATCAACAACAACTTTACTGGTGGTACAGTGACTGATGAAGTAGGTCATGATCGTCATGACGATGATGGATTTGACGATATGTTCAGACCCCCAACAACTGCTCCTCCAACAACTACAACACCTACTTATAATTTCATGCTTCGTCCTCAAGGAGAAGCAACTGAGAATGTTTCACAAGAAGAATACGACCGTCCAGATGGACCTCCACCAGCACGGGAGGGATCCTCGTCACAATCAGAAAGCTTGCCAAGCTTTACTGAGGGAAAGAGTCCTCCAAAAGTATCGGAAAAGTCTCAGCTCAATTAATCGCTTATGGTTAGATCGACTGGTATTACTTTTACAATCCATTCTCCAATCAAACAAATTATAATTCTAATTCTTAAGACATCTTCAACTTAATGAACTTACTTTTATTTCTTCAGGGCACTTCTATTACAACACCTTAGTTCAGTAATCTACAATCAAATAAACGAGAACTGTACAGTACAATGCTGTTTACCACTAGTAGACTTAAAATACGAAGTAACCATTTATTAATTACAAAAATAAACTGAAACAATTAATTATTAAGAGGGGCTCATCAAAAGGAAGGGAGTAAAACACATGAAGAATACAATAAAGAATCAAAACCGAGTCACAATACTGCGAGACTTTCAAATTTTCAAAGCTTCTTCGTACGATGGTGGAGGACCAGTGTAGGTAATTGATCCCTTCTCATCAAATCCGGCATTTTCGTCAGAAACATCAACACCATTTTCAAGAGCCTTGTTCTTCTCAATTTCAGATAATCCCAAATCATCTCTTGCAACCCAAATATGTGGCTCATCATCAGTAACCGCTGGGTCTTCGTAAGCAGTCTTAATGAAATCAGGATTGTACTCAATGTAATTGTAGTAGGCAGCTGGCATAACGCTACGAAGTAAGTCGAAAGTCTCGGAACTTGGATTGAAGAATCTAGTCAACCAAGAGATCGACTTACCTGGAGTAGCAGCCACTCCCTTGATGGCACCACCAACTTGCTTCTCAAGATTTGAGCCATTGCTAGCACTTTGCTTGTCTGAGACGTCTGAACCAAGGACCTTGTTTTCACCATTGGTGGTGGTTGTTTCAGACCCTGCACGAGTCTTTTCCAGAGCATGCAAATCAGCGTTAGGTGGCAATACTTGGTCTCTGTGACTACCTGTCAAACCTAATTGGTTTCCTCCTTGCCAGTAGTTTTCACCTTCTACCTTGATTTCCTTCAAACCTTGGTCTTGCTGAGGATAAGTAAAAGTTGAATCACCAGCAGCATATTTGATTGCTGAAATAGGAACAGCATCAAATAATGGTAAGAATCTCAACTTGAAGTAAATATGAGCGGCAGCGGTGACCACGATAGATGCACCTTCCAAGCCAACAGCAACCCAGTTCTTTTGGAAAACGAACAAAGCAACCAAGCAAACTTCAGCTAAGTACAAACCAACAAATAATTGAAATAAGGATCTTGGGTAGTTTCTTCCACGGGCATCATTCTTGTTAGGTTGCATGACATAGACCAAAGTGTAAAGGTATGCAATGTAAATAAGGACAAATGCGATGAACGAAAATCCAAGGATCAAAGGAGCAATAATCGAATACACCAAAGCAATAACTGTCAACAATTGGTATGCTGGATAAATAACGGACCAAGCAGGTTGACCCAAGGTAGTGTATCTGTTCCATTTAGCTCTTGGAGTAGAATCCAAAATCTTACCCAAGAATTGGGCCAAGATCAAAGCCACCATTTGGAGTAATAAACCTGAACTGATTGTTAAACCCTGCAAACAAAAGTATGAGATGTAGAAATTGGAAGATGCTGGGATCTTTTGAGCTAATAATGTCAAAGCTGAAGTTGGGTCGCTGATAATAGTGGTAACAGCGGATGCAGCAGCAGATGTAACGGTCACAACAATGAAAACATTCACAATTTGGAAAGCGTAAAACCACGATTGACAGTATGCCTCGACTTGCTGGACTGTAATACAACCACACACCTTACCCATCTTCTTGATAAATGGAGGAACCAAAGACATTAAAATAGCCAAGGCAATAGTAGGTAACAAACCAGTGATAACACCCATAATAGGCTTTGGCATGTTGTTGATAAATCTCAAAAAGTGAACCTTATCAGTAAGATTGTTAATATTAGAAATAGCACCAACAACTGCAACAGGGACACACCAGAAAATAATCATGAGGGTCAAAATAGTGCTTGCAATGACCTTCTTGACTCTTCTCTTGTTTGGAGTTAAAGCCAAGTTTTCCCAGATCACATCATCAGGGCTAATACCGTTGAATCTCTTGGCACCTTTGAATTCAGGGTTGTAAGGAATGGCCTGGTAAGCCTTTTGTAATTCCAATTGAGTTGGGAATTCAATAAAAACAGATGGGACCTGAGTGTTGGAACCGTGTTCCAACTGTTGCTTCTTGATTTTTTTGTTCAATTCTCCCAATCTTTCAACACCATAGTCCAATGTATCAACCTTCTTACCGATCAAAAACTTTAATCTGTGAGTAGGTCTCTTTTTACCATCCTTCAAATACTTGTTCAAGTCGTCAGCAGGCTCAGGAACTGGCTTGTTTTTCTTGACAGCCTTGTTTCTCAACTTAACGGCCTTAGTAACAACCTTATTCAATGCACCTTCATACTTTGCAGCCAACTTTTTACGTTCCTTGACATCCTCCTCTAACTTTTCATAGTCTCTAGCGTACCAAACATTGGTTGCAGTTGGGAAGTTTTCTCTCAAGTTAGCTTCTTCCAAAAGACTGTCTGGAATTTCAGTCAACAAAAGAGTTCTGGAAGATAACAAGGAGTCATACAATGGGGTAGTTTGTAAAACGTGTCTAAAGGTGGTGTAGTAAACCAATTCTCTGTAAATCAAAAAGATAACTGCACCAAAGAAAATCCAAGAAAGGAAGATGTGAGCCAAAACTCTCCATTTGTTGCTGATATTTGAAATGGAAATTCTGTCAAGACCTTGGGTCTTTGACGAATTGGTAGCATTGATTGGGAACAAGATTGGCCAGGTAATGAAACAACCTAAGAGGGCAACTGCAGCAAATTCGAACAAGTAACGGGCGAAGAAGTAGCCATCAGCACCTGTTTGTTGAATCAAGAAGGATTCTGATTTACCCAACAAACTGTGGATCCAGCTGAAAGCACCACGTGGAGATGCTTCTGGTTTGAGATCCTTTGGAAGGGTAGAGACCTGGGAACGAGGCTCATAAACTCTGACTTGCTTCTTTCTTAATATAACAAAAATACCAAGGAATACCGCAAAGATGGCCAAGTTAGGGATTAACGTGGACAACAATTGCGAAACAGAACTGTTTGATGTCTGTTCCGTTGAGGACGCCATTTCTGAGGGAAGGGTGGTTGCTTATCAATTGGCTCTTCGCAAGTTAGAAATGAGGGATGACCAAAAAATATTAACTGTAGAGATCGTTTGGTTGATTTACACAATTAACTCGATTTCGCCGTTATGGTGCTTTTTTCGATATCAATCCAACTCAAACAATTAACGTAAAAGTTCCACTCACCAGGATTTCTGCCTTATATATGTAATGTTTATTTTGTTTCACCTGAAATTTGTAGAGTTGCTTTTCGAGCGTGGCTGAATCACTCTCGTCTCACCAGCATGGGCACGCCGCACGTCGATAATGACGTACCCAGAAGTGTGGTCACGAACCCGGGATGATGTAGGGACTCACGCAGTTGAAACGGGCGCGCGAACCGGCAAACTGCATGGAGGCGCTCTTAGGCCCTATGCTGTGTGCCGCTGCGCCCTGCGCCCAGGTTATCACACAGGGCCGTTTATCCTGTAAGTATCTGAGTGAAACCAAACTACGAGGGGAGAAGAAAAAATAAGAAAAAAAGACCCAGTCGTGACTACTCAAAACAACTAGATTTGTTTACACTGACTGCGCACGGTCCAACGCATATCGCTGCTAAGAACAATAATGCATGCAGAGGGCAAGCAGACAATTGCCGGCGATGGACTTATATAAGACTAGCTCTCCACGTCGTCAGCCTCCTCGCAACAGTCTGTTCAGTTGCAGGGACGACTCTAGCTTCATGGCTTATCCTTCATGCCAGCAACCTGTCGTATGTACAGGTTTGATGAGTAGTTGCGGTGAATGTTCGACACATCAGGGGAGTGTACAAAAGGGAAGGGCTACAAATTTTTTTTTTTTAAAGGGTGGTCCACCCGACCGTCAACTAGTATTAGCGTGGAGTTGCCAATCTTCACAGGATGCTGGGTAGCCTTGTCACCCCGATTTAGGTATAAGCTTTCTCCAAATAATTCTTTAGATCTGGGTCACGGGAGCAAGGCTGAAAATAAATGGTGACCAGCACTCTTCTATTCAGCCCCAACCATCAGGTCGAAAAGCGTAGGAAAGAGGTTGCACTGGTGGTTCTGAGATGTTTGTAATCCTTGCACTGCTCTGATGGTTCGTGGCTCGACCCTTTTGTTTATGCAACTCTGGAAATCTTTGTTGTCACGACCCCAACTGTTAGGACGGGCCACGCACCGAGGTCCGTTCCGTGCATGTGGAATTTCTGCATCGCAGAAGCACCAAATGGAACAGGATTTTAAAAAATTAAGCGAGTTAGAGAAGAATGAAACCCACAGATCCTTATTCGTTAAGAGAATGAGCGATGGACACTGGATGCTCGAAATGTACTAGAGTCGTTAAAGTCAATTGAAATGTAGAGATGTGAAAACGGTACTTGCTGTTTACTGAATAGATACTGGAGGCAATGGATAAGCTCTCTTGCATATCCAAAGTTAAAAGAATCACATAGGATAATTTGCAACTCATTCAGCGATGGTTGCTAAATCGACTTATCTCAGAACTCCAACCCTACGAATTCTACATATTACTCTCACTTTATCATATATTCACTGAAAAGTCAAAAGGCGTTGGTACTCAACGAGTATCACTAGACAATCTCTCTGAGTTTAGATTTCAACAGCGCTAGAAACACCTTCGGCAATTTCGTCAATCTCGTGAGAAAGCTTTCCTCCAACACCAACGTACTTCTCAGAGAAAGGCTTAATCAAGGAGCTGTAAATAAGCTCGGCACCACCGAAAGCTGGAACACCGATGTAAATCAAGAAAAAGGTCTTGAATAAAAAGTAAAATGGGATCCAGTACAAGATGGCCTTGGACCAGAATTCAGCCACGTTCAAGAAGGCAAAAACAACCCAGTAGGCCAATAACTTAGAGTCGTCGCTCTTGCTAGGAGTGTTCAAGGCGATTAACGAATAGTAACCTGGAATGACGAAACCAGCAATGTTGGACAAAAGCTGACCAATTCCTCCAATGTTAAGGAAAACTAAGACCAAATACACACCGGAGAATGCCAAAACAGCATAAGATCTTGGTAAGCCGGTTTGACTGTTGAATTGGTTTAAAAGACCATGGTTCGAAGTAGCCTAGATGTTAGTATTTACCTTGGTCGGAGTCAAAACTGTTTTCAACATAATTCTGCTAGGTGACAACCAGAAGTTGGCACATTTGATGAGCTTGAAGTCCGTCGTTGCCAATCTTTACTTTCTCGTATCAGACCAGCGTATCGCTTCGGCTGCCACAGTTTTCAAGAACAGTATTTTGCATTAAGTTTTGTTTAATACATACTTTGTCGATGTGAGACAAGAAATTTTTGGCTTGGTCTGGAAATGACATTGTAATTGATGTTTCGGTATACTTTAGTAAGTCGTCTATACTGAATTGAAAAGTCTCGTGTGAATTTGAACCGCTCCCCAGGGGCGTGAAATTCGACAAAAGTTGCTGGGTGTGCAGCACCCAATCTCACTACCCCTTCAAAAAAGGCAGTGCGTAACCATGAACACTTGAAAGTAGTAGTTGCAAAATATGTCAGGATATCAGGAAGACTAATGACACTGCTATGATGGATTCCTATCTGTTTTCTAATCTGTGATAGCAAGTTTGATTGACTTTTACTTCATTTTGGCAATTTTTTTAGTGGAACCTTCTAAAAAGTTTAAAACTTACTCTGTAGTGTAATACAATGTTCTCAATGATAGGCTACTACCCATCTATATTGGATATAATAATTCATTAATAAAGCTATCATATACACATCTACTTTTTCTTGCTCTTAGCACTACCTTCAAAACCAGCTCTCTTTTTAGCGGCTTTGTTGATAGTTCCAGTGAACTTCTTCAAACGTGGTTGCTTCTTACCTTTCTTGCCCTTGTTATCTCTTCTAGCCTTCAAGTTTTCTTCTCTCCTCTTGGCTCTAGCAGCAACAGTGTCCTTGACTATTTGTTTTCTTTCCTTCCACTCAATTTCACTCTTGAGTTTTTGCTTTTCCTTTCTTTTGATAGCTTTGCGCAACAACTTTTCATCATCCTTCAACTTCACACCTTCTGCTTGAGACATGACTCTTTGCCACTTTTCCTTCTCTTCAAATGCTTTCTTTTCTTCTGGTGACATTTGCTCTAACTTACGCTTCTTCTGCTCGAGCTTCAACAAATGAGCCTTAAGATCATTATTGGCTGGACCCTTTTGCTTCGATTTCTCAACAGTTGATCTTAACTTAGAAAGATCAGATGTCACTCTAGATCCATCATTGAACACAATGTTCCCGAATAGCACTCCTTGTGATTTTTCTTCATCCTCTGAATCATCCGAATCCGAATCTTCATCTTCGATTTCTTCATGCTTTCTCTTAAGCTTTTCAGCTTTTTTTAATTCCTCTTTCCTTTTTCTTTCAGCTAAAATTTGCTCTCTTGATTTTGGAGCACCAGGAAGTTTAGTACCTGGCGCTTTTCTGGTCTCCTTAAAGACTTTGATCTTAGCAGCCAATTTTTCTCTCAACTTAGCCAAGTTTTCATCTTTCTTTTTCTTTTCCTCAGGTGTCATGACCTTTCCCTTTTTAGGTTCGACCTTCTTCTCCTCTTTGACTGATTCAACTTCATTTCCGTCATCATCAAACACTAACAGTGCACTATTATTTATCAAATCTGTATCACTTTCAGCTTCATCTTCTGACTGCAGTATTTTGCTTGCTACTTCAACTCCGTCATTTTGGTCGCTTTCTTCATCATTGCTGCTTGTGGAATCTTGTACAGGCTTTGAAAAGTTCACTTTGGATGGCAAGACTACCTTCTTAGCAGTCGCTGCTTTATTGACCATAACGTCTTTAGCAGATGCATGGGAGTTGGTATAATCGTCAGCTTCAGCTATGGAGCTTGGGTCCAACTTGGCTCTCTTATTTTGCTGTGTTTCTTTCTTTGACTTCTTCTTTTGCTGCCATTGATCTTGTGTGGCATTATCATAATAGTACTTTGCTGGGATTAAAGATAATAAACCATCGAAAGCAGATGAGTGGGTCTTGAGACGTTCCTAGATTAGTTAGTACTTATTCAAATTCTCTGCATGGTCCTAGTTCTAGTTTAAGAAATACATACCTCCAAAGTGTTACTCATGACTGGGATAGTTGTGAGAAATAGGCTTGAAAGAACTAAATGAATTAATGGTTTTGTAGATGGATCTAATACTATTTTTTTTTGGCCATCGCAGTCCTATTTTTTTGTATGCAGCCAGGTCAAATTAATGGATTCTTGTCTACAGTGGTGCCAAGTGAGATGATTCTAGGCCAAAGTTCCAAAGTTCCATACGAAGTAGCAATGTAGTACTTTCCACTATTCAATTGAATCCTTTGGTATATTATCAATGTACTAGGGGTATGTGTAAATTATGGACTGCTTATCTAACATTACAATACTGAAATTTACGCTGCGCGTGGATTCAAATTGAACATTACGATAACCGTAGCCGCCAGATACACCCCAATCAATCTTAAGATGGTATCTGTCGCAAATTATTTGGTAACCTCCTTACCTCAAACTGCTTCTGCTCAAGACTGGATTGAGAAGACCTTGAATGGCGGAAAGTCCCCTGTGAATAAGATTAATTTCCCAGAATTCCAAAGTGGCACCTTGGATTCATTAGTTCAAGAAAGTGAAGAATTGGCAAAGATAGATGGTCAATTGCAAGGCTCTGTGAGTAAGGTTGTTGATATTCTTTCGAGTGTTACTGAAAATGCATCTAATACTCGGATTGTGGGCTCCAAAAGTGCTACCGCCTACTTGGAATCTTTCCAATGGAATACTACGAAGTATCGCTTAGATAAACCTATCAAAGATCTCGTCAGCTTGATTTCAAACGAGGCATTCACTTTGGATAACGATGTCAGGTCAGCCTACCAAAGTTATCAAACTGCTAAATCCAACTTTCAGGCAGCAGACCGTAAAAAGAATGGTGACTTGTCGATCAAGTCATTACATGAGATTGTTCGTCCAGAGCAGTTCGTTTTAGACTCTGAACATTTGACCACGGTTTTGATAGCTGTTCCTAAGACTTTAATTGGTGATTTTGAGAAGACTTACGAAACTTTGACTCAATTCGTCATCCCACGTTCTGCTGAAGTCATTGCTACCGATGCCGAATACTCCCTTTACACCGTTACCTTGTTCAAGAAGTATCAACAGGAATTTAATACTGCTGCCAGAGAACACAAATGGCATCCCAGAACCGACTTTGTCTACTCCGAAGAAACCTTGAACAATTTGAGAAAGGAATTTGATTTGACTAAGGCTACTGAATCAAAATCTAAGAACGATCTCATTCGTTTGGCCAAGACCGCATACTCTGACATCTTTGCTGCTTGGTTTCACATCAAGGCCATCCGTATTTACGTTGAATCAGTGTTGAGATATGGGTTACCGCCACACTTTGATTACTTCCTTATCAAATTTCCCGATGCTAGAACTATTCCAAAGGCCAGAAAGGACTTGATTGAAAAGTTCGGATATTTGGGAGGTGACGGCTTCTCCAATCAAAGCAGTTTGCATGAATACGCATCATTGGTTGATCCCGATTACGAACCTTTTGTCTTATACGAGGTTGACCTCGTTTGAGAGCGATCTATATACTTTATTTCTATATTTAGTTCTAGAAGCATTATAATGCCGTTTACTCCGCAATCATCACTTTGCCTCCTCATAGCAGGTTTAGGTATGATGACTTAGTTGTATGGAAATATCGTATATTCGATAATTGATGAAGTAAGAGATATATTATGCCGCTTTCCGATATTGATAGCGTGAGGTTGATGCTTGATGTAGCTTGGTATCAAGTATGTTTCTCGAGTTGTTAGTATACTGGAGAAAGCCAATGCGATGTTATCATTGATAATAATTTAGGAATTATCAAACGATTTCCAAAGAAGAGGGTGTTCCTTGTTCAACAGATAGCGGCAATTACCCTGATTGCTGAAATAGTCTATGTATGACCTAGTATTCCGTATTTTGCACCAAAAGGCCGAATCACGTGATCAGGACATCACCCACTCAGTATCACCCATGAGGGCAAAATGTTGCTTTTAGAAATCCCACATCAAATCCTCCACTTTGTAATTCAACAGCATGGGCTATCCATCTCCTTTGAAAGTTATCAGTCGAAAATTAACCAATGATATTGTGATTGCGTCATGTGCTTTCTCCAGATTTGACAAGCTAAATTTTGGAGGTAGAATGGCACTCATCAATCATCTGGGCCAAATTATTGTGTGGTCTGCTTTGCCTTATGGACCAGAAGTTGAAAAGAGTTTGGAGTTGTTAACAGGAACCACTGGTAAGTACAACATCACTCACTTGATTATCCCTGACAAAGAGCACACGATGGCAGCCAAGTCATTCAAGGATGTGTATCCTGAATTGAAGGTCATTGCTATGGAAGGTGTCGAGGTCCCTGGCTTGACTATTGATTATAGGGTAACCTCAAAATTAGGAAACAAGACCATTGACCTGAAGATCTTGAAGGAGGAGCTTGGTATTACGGACAAGGTCTTCTTGGACCTGTTTGAGTTTGTCTACTTGCCACACCACGGAAATAAGGAATTGGTGATGTTTGACACCAAGTCCAAGATTCTTTTTGAAGCAGACTTGCTTTTCAACCTTGGCGTGAAGGAGCCATTAGAACAATATTCCCCTTCTACCGGATTCTCTGAAGGTTACAATCCTCATTCCGGTTGGTCCTTCCTTACCAGATACATGCAACCTTACAGTAAGGTGGGGAACATTTTGACTAACAAGATTACTACTCCACAGAGTAAGCCAGGTTTGGAAGCCATTCAAAAATGGGACTTCTCAAAGATCGTGATGTGTCATGGAAATATCATCGAAAAGGACGCAAAGAAAGCTTTTGCCAACGTTTTCAAAGTTTAAGCTAACTCTCAGTTGAGATTTTTTAAAATTTTTCGTATTCATTTCCTTCTTAGCTTATGATGTTTTAGCTTAGGAACAGGAAGATTTCAATTACACAGCGATGTAAGTCGATGCGAATTCCTCACTAAATAATGCAGCTGCTAATCATTAAGTATTCTATTTTTGCACTGTGGTGGTTACAATGCTGTAAAAACCAAAGATCGATTTTGCAATCGATCTCTGTTAGCAACCGGTACTCATAACTATCCATCTCGTAGGAACAAGTAGTTTTAGGGCGCGGCCACATGTGCACCATGCATTCCTTCCCGCGGATATGCTCAACCCCACAAAAGCTTACTTGAGTTGTTACTAATCATATGATCTCACCGAGGATTTCAATTGCAAATCCATACCAATCTCCATTCTACAGATAAGCCCGTTTCATCCTTTTATGTCAAACTATGAGTGCAACTGGACAGACATTGCAGTACAACGGTACTAACACTTTGGACGAAGTTGTCGAGTCAAAGAGCATACCTGTTCGTGATGAAGTTCTCGAAACCTTGAAAAAACATCCATCTTTTACCTACTACGACAAGCTCGATAAACTTGACATTGCCATCAGCTCTTCTATCAAACCCAACTTAACAGGATATACATTGGTAGGAGAGGACAAAATCAACTATAGATCACCTACGTACTACTATGATCTGAAATCAAAGGAAAGCGAGGAACACCATAGTCCTCAATACTCCATCACATTCTTCCATTTGGGCTCGAAGCTTTCCGGGCATGAGGGTATTGTACACGGTGGCTTAATTGCCACATTATTAGATGAACTTACATGTGGCGTGGCGTTTTTGAATTTTGAATCCAAGAGAGGAGTTACTGCTAATTTGAACGTCAACTACCGTCAGCCCGTAGTTGTGAACTCATATGTTTTAGTGAAATGTGAAATCATTAAGAAGGAGGGTAGAAAATGTTGGGTAAAGGGTAGTGTCTTTAAAATTGAAACTGGGGAGGGCGAGGTTGGAGGCCCCGAAATTGTGGAATCTCGTGCTAATTTATTGACAGAGGCCGAAGTTCTAGTGATAGAGCCTAAATGGGTTGAGAAGTTGACCAAGAATAGTTGATTCTCAACATACCTTACATGGACGTCCGTCTACTTATTTATTAGATTAGATTGATTACATTTTAATATACACTTTATGAATATCTATAAGTTGTCTGTGCCCTTTGCCTTACTTTGTCCAATTTCTAGCTTAGCACTTTTAGCGCCAAATTGGATGGCCCTCTTGAGCTCTGATTTGACCCACTCTAACCCAAGATACCCTGCCAATTCACGTAACAAGTATTTACGGGTAGCTTTCAATACAGTTTTCGAGCCCTTTTTCTTAGTTGTTATAGTCTCAAATCCAAAGTGAAGTTTTGAGTTGGGTTCAATTTCGTTAATAACATAACTTATGAGCTCCTCATCCAAGTAAGGATATCTCAATTCTTTTCCCCAGCAGCCAATGACTCTATCATCACGTCCCAAGTTTCTTTTGTGGATTATTGCAATATCGTTTATCAATTCTTTACTCAACTCATTGTAGCGTAACTCTATGTCCTCTCGCGACGATGTCTCGGTAATGTTGTTGGTGAATATAGATTCATGTCTGGAGTACCCTGCAAACAATTCGTCAGCTCCCAAACCACTAAATAAAACTTTGGCCGCAGACTTATATTCCGGGGTGATTTGAAGGAGTTGAGACTCTTTCAAGATAAACTCTTCGTATGACATAGTACAAGTATCAGGTTTTTCTAGCAATTTTGTAGATTGTGGCAATGTGGAAGAGGCAAAATAAAATGCAATAGCAATGGATAAATCCATTTCAGTATTGGAAGGATACATCAAATCACGCACTCTATGCTTATGGGTCAACCATTGCTCATAGCTGATGTCGATTTCCACTAGCCTTAACTTCAAGTACTCACCATTATATTTTGCTGCCAAGTTATACCATGATTTTTTGCCCAACATACGATCTGGCGATGCGCTTGCTCTCTGATTGGTACGCGGGTTGTCAAAACCTACCGTTAGCAAATCAATATTGACTAATTTCGAAGGTTTTCTCTCAATTATATTCTCGCAGATCAAAGCAGCTAGCACGGTACAATCGAGTCCTCCCGAGAATAATACTGCGAGTGCTGAATCTTCCTCGGTGAGAGGGTGTATAAGCTGCTGCCGCACTAAAGTTTTCGACTTGATGATTTTATACAATCCCTCTAGAGACTTATCAATAGACGCCTCGGGATTATAAACCAAAGGCTTATAATTTAATGAAGGCAACGAGTATTTCTCGTGCAAGTCCGCATAACTATGATGAATTATAGAATGCTTACTCATGTCATATATGCTTATTTCATTTTTGCATTCCATGAATGATTGGCTCTCCATTTCAGCGGTGGAGGTGACGAGCAATTCTTGGTGCAGATGACGAAACAATAATGATCTTTTACCAACAGAATCCCTTCCAAAGTAAACCAAATTCGATCTCAAATCTACCAAGACAAATGCGAATTCTCCTTGTAGTTGGCAAAAGGTATTTAGTATGGCATCTGGGGTGCTGTCAGAGTGCTTCAATAAGTTCATTATGTAAGTGGTATCATTCGAATCTTGACACTCCTCATTATAAAGCTCCCCATTGAATTGTAAGATTTTGTCTTCGAGTTGAAGAGGTTGTGGTTGAAATGGCTGTCTGAGAGATAAAACGGATGAGAACATCTGAAAGTTGAATGATTGATGTTGAAACTGGCGGTACCCGAGGAAATTTGGACCCCTGCAAGCAATTTTATAAATCAAGTCTTCCAAATTGAATTCGGATGAACATTCAGCCTTTTCTTCTTCGTCCCCTTCCACTATTTCTTTAATCTGATCTTCAATCAACCGGGTTTCTTGTGAAATTTGATCTTTAGTCAACTTCACATTATTTCTGATCTTGGCCAACTTTGTATTGAGACCACGTAGCACATCTAAATTAGCAATCTTTTTCTTATCTGCCTCATTCAATGGCTTTACTTTTGAGTTGTAGTCAGTCGAGATGAATTGATCTATTTCTTCTGGATCTCTTGCATCCCACAGTTCAATTTGGACCTCTTCGAAGCTTCCTTTGGTTAGAAATGGAATACACTTGGGACACTCTAGCCTATTTCGTGTGGCCCTGAGCAAGATTCCACACATCTCGAACGGTGTATAAGCCTCTACTTGTTCTGGAGAGATGCCATCGTGATTCCAGATCAGTGCACGTGACCGAGAAACACTTTTGTGCAGGAAACCATTTCCAACACAACGAAAATGTGGTTGCAAAAGGAGTCACCAGCCTTAGCAGTTCAGAGGAGTACACGAACGTCTTAAGCCATTGCCGATTTTCAGTGTCGTTCATTTATATGTATCTACGTGGCGGAAAGGGCGCCGTCTAGAGTTAGATAAATGCACTTAGATGGTGCCGTCTGCAGTTAAAAATGCACTTTGATGCTCTTGGCAAGTTGATAGTATCTCACCCAAAAACAGCAGGATACATCCCCAAAAACCACACTCTGTGTGCGTAAAAGATGTACCATAAAACACAGGCGGTTATGCTCGTGTTATCTGCGTCAATTAAAGTACCAAATTTCATGTACGGCAGTACCAGGTAGTGCACATACCGAATGACTCGACCTACACCCACCCCACATAATGAGTAAGGTACCCCTCATGATCGGCGACATCCCGTTGCAAGTGTTCCATCCTGGAATATACACCCCGTTGCAAGTGTTCCATCCTGGAATATACACCTCATCCTGTTGTTAATTAATGTACTAAAATGGGCTACCCATCACCTTTGAAAATTGCCAGTAGAAAATTGGCAGACAACATCGTTACTGCATCATGTCCATTTTCCATCCTTAACAAGCTCAACGCTGGTGGAAGAATGTCCCTCATCAGCCATCAGGGGCAAGTTATAGTGTATTCTGCTATTCCTTATGGACCTGAAGTTGAAAAGAGTTTGGAGTTGTTAACAGGAACTACTGGTAACTTCAACATCACTCATTTGATCATTCCAAACAAGGAACACACTTTGGCAGCTAAGTCGTTCAAGGACGTGTACCCTGACTTGAAGGTGATTGCCCTGGAAGCTGTTGAGGTCCCTGGCTTGACTATCGATTATAAATTAACCCACAACTTGGGAAACAAGACTCTTGATCTGAAGATCTTGGAGGAAGAGCTTGGCATCACAGACAAAGTCTTCTTGGACCTGTTTGAGTTCGTTTACTTATGTCGCCACGGAAACAGGGAGTTGGTAATGTATGACAAGAAGTCGAAGACAATTTTCTTAGCTGATGTGGTCTTCAATACTGGAATCAACGAGCCTTTGGAACAATACTCCCCTGCCACCGGATTCCCCGAAGGTTACAATCCTCATACTTGGGCATCTCTTCTCATGAAATACATGCAGCCATACAGTATGATTGGAAATTACTTGGTTAACAGAATCGTCACTCCTAATTCTAGACCAGGTTTGGAAGCCATTCAAAAGTGGGATTACTCCAGGATCGTGATGTGCCATGGTAATGTGATCGAAAAAGACGCCAAAAAGTCCTTTGCCAACATCTTCAAACTTTAGTATTAATGCTATGCAGTCAAACCCATACTATCTTAAGTTGTAGCCACTGGATGTTCTGTTCATTGCAAGCCACTGTCGATGATTTCTCCATTTCGTAGTATTACTAATAAATACAAAGGGAGTGTCAGCTGACAATTATTACTACCACTGTGGTTAAGCCCAGTTTCGTTTTCGCGAGAAGTATTTATAAACTCGTCTAGCCCAAAGGTGGCTAACACACAGCCTTGTACAAAATTACCTACCTGACGAGTGATCTATTAAAGCTATTTTGGAAATATATTGTACCTAAAAACCTATCCAAACTATGATAAAATAAAAGTTAATACAAGAAGAAAATGAAAATTTCATGAACGCATGGGTATAAGATCTAGGGTGTATCAAATCTCTATCGGGCAACTGATTCAGTTAGTTCAGCCCACTGTAATCAAGCCCTTTCCTTTTTCTCTGACAAATTGAGCCAACGACTTGTCCTTGTACTTTTTGAAAAGTTCCTGGAAGTTACCGTATGGGACTCCTCCAATAAAGAGCCTTGGAATATTTTGGAGGGCATGGCTCTCGGCGAGTTTCTTTTCGGTTTTGTAGCGTAAATCTTCGTACAGTGACCCTTCGGAACTGAGTACCTCCTGGGTAAACTTAAGGTCGCTTTTGATGATCGCCTCGGAAGAGGACGCGGTTGTGGTGACAGGGATGGTTGTATCTTGGTGGGACTCGTAGCTCTTCAAGTAGTTTAATATCTTCTTGCAGTGGGGGTGTTTGTCCAAGCTGACGATCTTGGGCTCGGGGTGGATGTTGAGGTTTTTGATGATGATTTCGAGCTGCTGTTGATCGGAAGAGTCTGGGTCGTCGGAGATCAAGATTATGGGGCTCACCAGAAGGATCTCCTTCAAGTCGTGCTGAGACGCGAGGGTGTCTTTCTCCAGGTCTTCCGACTCCAAGGCCGCGATGTCCGAGTCCACGCTCTTGCCGTCTACGAAGAACTCGTTCAACTTCAAGGCGTGTTCATCGTTGGCATCGCCGTTGACGTTGATGATGGGGTTGGAAATATCGGCGGTGTGCTTGGAGCTGTGGTAGTTGCCAAGCTTCCTTCCCACGGAGGCTCCGCACCCCACGATAATGATGGTGACCACGGCCCAGATGACTAGGAAGATGACCCTGTTGTAGTTCTGTTCCTCCTTTTGGTCCAGTACATCGTCGTCCTCGGATTTCTCGATGTCGATGTAGAAGGATGCTTGTGGCGATCCTTTGAAGCTTGTTCTTCTCTGATGGGATTGTGACATCTCAAAAGACAGGGAACCAAGTAGGTGGGGCCACCCAGGGGTTTATATCAACCCCAGAAAATTACGAGGCACAGATAATTTATGTTAGGCTACATGCAGCGACCGGCTCTAGACTACAATAGTTGCAATAATTAGCGCTGGTGGCCTGCACCAACGCTGCAGCAATGCGGGTGCGAACATTTCCAGTGCCAATTCCGGTGAAGCGGCCTCCGGTGGGATCGCTGCAATAGCTGTGCATTATTTGATTGGTTGCTGCGTCCACCCCAAACAATCTTGAGGGGGGGGAACTAGCCCAGACGTTGGTCAAACCACTGAGAAACATGCTTCCCACCTGTAGGGGCGGGACCATCAGGGACACTGGCCCCTTACTGGCCAAAGCTATTCCCCGATTCAGCAAAACATCTCTTGCCCTACTGAGTTAGGGAAGTCTGGACTCAGTTCCAGACCCTTCCCCAATAATTGCCCTATGGGTAAATCTTCTCTGTATGCGGGTTCATGACGCACCTATGTGCTAGCGTGACTTGCACGCCTGGGAGTTCGCGGGGCAATTGCATGTGTCCGCGGGCTGTTGAGAGGTGTCAAGAGGAGGAGGCTTGCATGGTCGCTGAGTCGGTGCATCGGAAGTAAGGTTTTAGACGACAACAATCGATCACACGCGTTGGGCCGATGGGCGGGCCACTCGTAAACTGCGCCTATGGGCCGCTCGCCTTTTCACTTCCCAATCCTCACCGCTGCCACCACCTACTGCGATGTCCGGGGAAGCCTGCGTCATGCTGATTAATGGTATTTGCTGTCAAGGCCCCTGCAACGGCTCATTGCGTATTGTGCGCCCACCACCAGTGTCAAGGACAACGAGGTGGAGTCCACTGGCACAGGCGACTATTGATCCAGAATCCAGCCCTATTGTGTTGCATATGCTGTGGGGGAGAGGAGCCGTTGGCGGTGCCAGCTCGAGCCGCCAACAAATCTATCAATTTGACCCATGTCAGTGCTGACGCTTCCAAGACATTGTTACTGCTGGATCGGTGACCAAGATGCCGTGATAGGAAGCTGAGTCACTCAATGGGGAAACTGGCTCTCGTAATAACTGTCGGGACTTATTGGTGGACATCCGCTAAAATAATATCGCACTAAATCTACGATTTTCCTGCAAAACTCCTGACTATTCTAAAACCGCTTCCGCGGACCAAATTGCCCAGGAAAAGACACGACATTCGCCTCTGGGCCATTACTGGCGATCGTGCTGGCACCAGCTAGTATCTGAACTTTTCGGTAGCACGACTTCTGCGTCCACGCCCCACATTATTTGCTGTCCATTTGCTGTCCATTTGCAGTCCGTTTCCATCTCATCTCCACCCGTTCATGATTGTCCCCATGTTATTCCGTGCGCGCTGCCAGTAACTGCAAAACGAGCACCAAAAAAACAATCATTTGTTTGGATCGCAATATCGCAGAGGGTGGTATGCAATACTGAGATGAGCAAACGAGGAATTGGCGGGGGTGTACTGAGTGGTACCTCTGCTGGAACAGCCGTGGGAACCACTTCTATACACTTGGGCGATCCATTACCGTTGCCCTACAAAATCGCGTCCGTCGATGACGATGACACTGCCGTGGACACCATAGCAAGAAAGACAAACAGAATAGGCCTGGGCAGTCTGGACGACAAGCCTAAGTCCGATATCGAGTACCGTCCCGGTCCACGACGCACGCTAGAGCTCAGGAAGCCATTGGTCGAAGATCCAGTATCCGTTTCCCATCGAAGACATATCTCTGGAGATGTGGGTCTCGAACCGCGGGATGAATATGGTAGGGAGCATATAATCGTCAGAAAGGGCATACGAAGACCTCCATCCGAGAGCAAGCCACAGTTCAAGCTGGATCCGTACGAAAGTGTGCCCAAGAATGTGTTTCCCAGGAAGAAATACGATATTGTGGAGAAGGTCGATCATACCGAGACCGTTCCTCGCAGAATTCCCTCGGTAAGGAGATTCGGGTTCGATCAGGGTGTCAACAATGGTGAAATACAGTCAAACTACCTACCCTCCGCTTCGACACACCCAGGACACGAGGATACGACCCAAGAGTTGGACGATCCCCATGATATCACGATCTCCCAAATCGACGAGACAGCACAAGAGCTTATTAGCTCCATAGACAATGACCTCAATAAGCTCCATCTCTTGATTGTGAACAACCAGGATACCATCGACGATGTCAAGGCTCTTGAGTCGATCAAAACGCAGGTAGAAAAGACAATAGGGGCGACCGTGTCGAACTTGAGCAGAGACCGTCACGAAACCTCTACCAAGGTTCCCACCATCCTTGAAGAGTTGGATAGGCTACAGAAGCTCGACCGGAAGAATACTAAATACAGCATTCAGCTAGATTACCGTTATGCCATCGTGTTCGTGGCGGTATTGGTGTTCTTGGTTAGTTCATTTGTTGTCTCTGGATTGAACTATGAATACTGTTATTACTTCTGTTGATATGTACATTAGAATCTCTAAATTATTTGTAACTATATACATGACTTTAATCATCGTAATCATTCTTGGGAGGAGGAGCACTCTCACTGCTCAAGTATAAGTCGATAGCAGTCGAGAAAGCGGCGAAACCTGCACAGCCGAACATGGCAGCTTGGGGTCCAGCCTTAATCGATAAACCTGCACCTGTTATGCAGCCTGCACTGACACCGTTATATATATCATGCTTGGCTCTGAGACTCTCAATAGCACATTCCACTCCTGAATAGACCATACCGATGTAACCGAAGTTTTTGGCACTGGAATAGGATCTTTTACCCATGTCGGTAAACTGTAATTTCATTTGCTGCTTGAAGGGCAACTCACTGATATGGCCAACGGCAGCAGTGCCAACTGGCACGTCGTAGGCCATGGAGGCCATGAACAACCCGAAGAAACCACCAAGGGCGAAACCTGAAACTCCTGCCATCACCGTTTTACCAGGACATGATTGCATGACCTCTATCATCCGCTTTGCGCCCTCGTTGGCCTGTTCTTCTTGGGTCATCTCGCTGAGAGCCTTAGCAGGCGGCTGTGGGCCTGTGTAAACTCCTATCATGGTGCCAGGTCGTCTGTCTGTCGCAGTGGAAGTGGTGATCAAGCCTCATTGAGACAGTTCGGTTTTCAGCTTTTCCTCTGATTACGTAAGCCAGGCTTAACTGGGTCAGAGATGACTGGCGACGGTCAGACACGGTTGGCGGCGATTAAGCTATATAGAGCCCTCATCATCGTTCGGCTAAAACAATCTGGCTGGACATATGCGGAGTGCCACCAGCCTCTCAAGCGTCGGAACCAACTCACCTGATCGGGTTGTTCCACTCTGGGTTCGTCACGTAAAAATGTCAAAGTCCGGCAACCGGCCACTTCTACCGCCTCTGTGGGGCCAGAGCTCGTGTAGAGTGCTTGGAAAGTCCTGGTAGCCCTCGTAGAAGTCAGGAGATAGTTATTAATTGCGTCCAAAAGCATAGAGATACAGTTGCACCATCTGGCCACACCAGCATGAGTGGGTGGATGAATGCCGAAGAACGCAACCATCCATTGCAGGTGCTACTCCCCACTTCGCTCATGCCTGAACTGAGGACATTCTACGAACCCCACAGATGAGGATGTATTTGAGGGGGGTTTACCCCCTATGAGCATCAACAAGGGTGAGGAGAACAAGAAAACCAGGAGGGGTGATAAGGAGAGGACGGAGGGGAGCCGTAAATAGCGTGGGGCTGCGGGGCCTCATTAAATCGCCGATGAGCAACTATTGGCCAAAGCTACTGTAGGATCGGGGGAACAGAGGATAGCCCAATCACGTTACCATGAAATGTGGGGTGACTATGAAGTGTCGGGAAAGAGGGGCCCCTGGAAAGCCAAGGGTATATAAGGCACATTTGAAGTCTACTGCTGGAACTCACTACCGTGCAACTAGTAAGCCACACTAGCACATATTACAACCTCGTGAATCTATACTCTATAACTCGCTGTCATCATGACCAAAAAGAACAGAAAGATGTCCATTCCCTTGGATTTGGATAACTGCCAGACCTTGGAACATTTGCAGCCTATCCCCAAGTCTCGCTCATCGTCGATCACCTCCATTGAGACTAGTGATTCCGACGGGTCGGTGAAGATGAAAAAGATGCTCATCCCTCCACCAATCAGGGAGTTCGATGAGTTGACTAGCTTCGAGAGCTTCATCAGGGATGAAACCTGGGACAACGAGTTTGATTACTACCATGCCCATCTCTCGTACTATCCACCATTTATCATGAAGGAGTGCCACGATAACTTGGACAAAATCAAGCCAACCATGAACAAGAACTCCCGTAAGTTTAGAAGACAATTGCAGCACCACGTAAAAAACCACTTATTGAAGGATTTGGAAAGATGCTGTGGTTACGAATTGAACATGGAAAAGATTGACACTATTGAGACTCCAGACAAGATTGTCTGGAAGTTCAATGACACCTCTGACCATGGCTTTTCGAAGGAGGAGGAAGACCTCTACGATAGACATTGGAAATTAGAATTGGAAATTTCATGCAATAATGAAAATCCTCTAGTTGACGTCCACTATAAATCTCTTCCACTCATAGAGTAGTGTGACATGTTTGCTTTTTGTTTTGTTACGTTCTTATGTGTAATGTTTTTACGATGTTTTATGAATAAATGACTACCTTTTTTAACAGTGTAGAACTAAATTTCACTTCACTCCAATAACTCCTCAGGCCCTGGCCAAACTGTCGTATTGAGGACTGGCATTAACATATTGATTGACATACTCAGGGATGTTTTTCGTCAAAAACTTTAGTAACTCAGTCAACTCGTTGACAAGTACCGATATGCTAACCCCGTCCATGGTTGTCTGACTCAAAAGTCCCGGGAAAGATATCAATAGTCTCAATAGATGCTCTATTCCGTACACTTCGCTTTGTTTCTTCTCACTGGAAACTTGACCGTTTTTGATCAAATTTAAGTATTGCAAGTTCTCGTATTTGTATAGTAACATCAAACTCAACGACTTGTTGAAGTAGAGCTCAAGTCCCTGTATTATCTCGTCCAATATGTCCAACTGGTCCTTGGTAGCGAGTTTGGCCTTTCTGAACTCGTAGTAGTCGGTCAATATTTTCGAGATTGGATACTTGCTAGGCAAATCTATTATCTTCTTGTCTTTCGTTATGAACTCCCAATCATCCACTAGTATATACTTGAGTTGGTTATTAAATTCAAGCTGAATGTTTGGAGTTGGGTCTGATGATTTACCGCCCGTGAGCTTGGCCTTTTTGGAAGGTGGTCCCTTGTCAAGTTTGTCGAGAGAGTCCCGTTTTTTCCCGTCCAACGACGGAGTGGAAGGCTTTTTCCGTTTCCTTTTGGTGAGTTGCTCCAACTCTGTTTTTTTGTATCTATTATCTTCATTGTTTTCGAGCACCCTTTCCGTGGTGACCCACTCATCCCACTTGCTCTTCCAACCTTGATAGTGCAAGAAAAAGGAATCTTTATCCAGGAAGTCATCAACATTGAATTTGGGGTTGTCACCAAAGCTTTCGTGCTTTCCCTCTGCATTTATGATCCAGTCCTCGTTCGCCTTGTGCGTTTTGAGGACCTTGGCCTCGTATATCAATGGACCATGAAATGCCAATACTGTGGAATTGACCTCAAAAAATACACATGGCAGATTTTCCGTTATTTTTTCATCTTGAACACTTGATGATGGCAGTCTGGGAACTTCAGTTTCCGTGGAATTGGCTATAGTCGTCATCACAAATTTATATCACTCACAACTGTAGGCAACTGAAGTCAATTCTGGTTGTCATTTTGAAATTCTGTAGATTAAGCGTGCGAGAAAAAAAAACAACTGAGGAGGAGAGGAGAAAACTAGTAACCGAAAACTGCCTAGACAAGGTTCAACTGATAACGATAGAAGGTTGACAGGCTATAGCAGCGTACCTAAACAGCTGACAGGGTATCACAATTATCATAGCATCCAGAGAATTCGAAGCCATCCCTACACAGCCAAGCGAAACGAAGACAGCAACGTCGTTCCGGTTAGTGGTCAAATACACAATTAAGACACCAGTTTTGAAACAAGCCACTCAAGCCACTTCAAGTCATTCCAGAAGGTTGGAAGCATAAGCATTTGCTGTACTACAAGCGTGAGTCTCTGATAACCATTAGAAAGTGCATGCCATGGCTAGTAGCTCAGCAAACATAGTTGGTGTTCACTACAAAGTGGGAAAAAAGATCGGGGAGGGTTCGTTTGGTATCATCTTCGAAGGAATCAATATCTTCAACAACCAGCAAGTTGCAATCAAGTTCGAACCGCGTAAATGCGATGCTCCCCAATTGAGAGACGAGTATCGGTCATATCGGATTCTCAACAACAGCAAGGGGATTCCCAAGGCATACTTCTTTGGCCAGGAAGGTGTACATAATATTTTAATTATCGACTTGCTAGGACCGTCATTAGAAGATTTGTTTGACTGGTGCAATCGGAAGTTTTCAGTGAAAACAGTGATTCAGGTGGCTAAACAAATGATCTCGCGGGTCGAGGAGATACATGAACACAATCTTATCTATAGAGACATCAAACCAGACAATTTTTTAATCGGAAAACCTGGTACTCCCGAAGCAAATCAAATTTATGTGGTTGATTTTGGAATGGCTAAGCAATACCGTGATCCTAAATCGAAAGTTCATATTCCATACAGGGACAAAAAAGCTCTAAGTGGAACTGCTCGTTACATGTCTATTAACACCCACTTGGGAACCGAGCAGCTGAGAAGAGATGATCTTGAAAGTTTGGGGCATGTTTTTATGTACTTTTTGCGGGGTGCATTGCCATGGCAAGGTTTAAAGGCTCCAACCAACAAACAAAAGTACGAGAAGATAGGATTGAAGAAACAAACCACATCTATCAATGATCTTTGCTATGGTTACCCCATTCAGTTTGCTCAATATTTGACGTACGTTCGAAACTTGAAGTTTGACGAAACTCCCGATTACAATTACTTGATAGGTCTTATGGATAAAGCGATGTCTTCGATTGGCCTCGAGGAAGATGCTCATTATGACTGGATGGATTTGAATAATGGAAGAGGGTGGGATGCTGCATTAAACAAGAAGGCCAACTTACATGGTTATGGTAACCCACATCCACCCCAACAACGACAACAGCGACAGCAAGCTCAGCATTCACCTTTCCAAAATCCACAGTCGTCAAATAATAGAAACTCCTCGAGCTCCAAACTTGTACAATATCAAAAGAACGTGAAGAAAACTAGATCTAAATCACTCTCCATTGGCAACTACAACTCCATTCCTCAAGATGCAGGGGGCCAATTTAACCCTTACAACGGACCCCAAGCATACCGTAACGGGAACCACCAACAGAGTGGCATGATACCTGTGCGGGACGATGGCGATCTCCATTCCGATACCTCGAGTTTCAACGAGAGGCGCAAGAATAGATCTTGTCTATCCCGGATTTTCTGTTGTATATGAGTGCTGTTCCAGCATAGTAACATCATGATCGGTCTTTTCTGGATATGCTGAGCTACACCATGGCATCAGGTTCCTGGTATGATATTCTTTTGTTCACGGTTCTATTATTATTTTATCACGAGAAATGTATCATGTCTCATAATAAATTGGGCTCTTCGGGTCAAGTTCGAGCCAGTCTCCGTATATACTTCATCTGCAATCTGCTCTACCACCTTAACTAATCTTTTTATATTCCCTGATATATGGCTCAGTTCTCTACTGATTCTTTCCCCTACAGATTGAATCCCGGCAGAGAATTTTTCTTGCTTTCCAAAGTACTTATTATGAGTAGTTCAAAAATTAATTGTGGATTAATGCGCAAGAGATAAGAGCATTTTTTTATTACTAGGTTCCTTGCATGTTTGGTTTAATTAAATTCGGATACGAGGAGAAATCCGCTGTTGATTATTAATTCAATCAGTATAATTTTTCCTGCCTCGCATAGCCTACAAAATAAACCTAAAGGATCTATAAATTTTGCCAGGAGCTAAAGCTACTAGAGTGATCTAGATGCTATGCCTTATACAATACCTCGATAAGCCGATTCAAATATAGTATGAGAAGTTGTTTCTAACCTATGTTAGATTGTAGGATTAGCCTCTTAACGCCAATACTTTCCCCATCTAATTGCGCTTCTTATTCTGGGGTAGTGGTGTATGCAACTTCGCCTCTAGTATTTTCTTAGCTAACGCTGGATACAATAGTACTTCTCAATAGTAATTATCGTACAGACAGGTAATGACCGAGAACGGTTAATCTAGAACGGTTAATCTTACCTTTAGTTCAAATGTAGTCCTGGATGTGATCATAGTCGTTTTTGCTCCACAATGTGGTGCGGCATCGGATTTAACATCACTGCCTCCATCTAAACAGACCCACGAGCAAGAGATTGGATCGACGACAATGGAAGGCAGCTTTGACATTTTCCCAGACTTTTAACTATGAACAACTCTAAACGTCGGCCAAAAGACTCCCCCATCCCCGAACCAAAGAAACGTGACATAATCCGGAGTGAAAACTCCGGCCACGATGACGATGAGTCGAAATTTGACACTGGGCGTACCAAATTGGCGTGTGTCAGATGTCGACGGCGCAAAACGAAGTGTTCGGGGTCCATCCCATGCTCTACATGTATCTCAGGGGGCCATGAGTGTGTTTTCTACAAGAAGCCAAGGGTCATCAAGGTGCTAGACTCGGAAATCCAGGTATACCAGGACAGAATTGAGGAGCTCGAGCGAGAACTAGAGATGGCGAAGTCTCCCAGCGGAAGCTCTGCTGTACACTTGTTGAGCTTGAATTCAGAGTCGTCTGTCGGAGGCAGCCCACCACAACACGATAAAGAGCCATACGATCCACCCCCTCAGACTTCGTCAGACACCATTGACCGATTAAACCTATCCATATGGCTTGGGTCTGCGTCGTCGGAGTTAATCTGCTGGAACTTGAAGCAGTTCAAGATTTCCAGTTCGGATCCATCGAAAAGCAGTGAAGAAATCATCATAAGTCCAAACTTCAGTTCGTTTAACGAGGAAACAACGTATGATGGGTTGTTCCGGGTGGAAAACTTGTTGAATTCGGATGAGGTTCGTGAGATCCTCGAACCCTTGAACTATCTCAAATTTCTCGAGCTCTTTGACAACGTTGTCACTTTCATTAACGCAGGCTACCTTATTGTTGACCCTGATGAGTTCATCAGAAAGGGCCTGGAGTATTTTGACTTCAGCTCACCACAACAGCAGTTGAGAATGGATTTAGTTGACTTCGAAGACGAAGGAAAACGATTTTTCTTGCTAAAGATGGTGACAATTTTGGCGTTGGGAGAAATCTATGGCACCGATTCATACGTGGGGATTAAAAAACCAAATGTAAATAACGAACATATTGAGAATACCGCGAAGAAATGGCCATCTCTACCTGGTTCTGACTATTTTCGGGTGGTCATCAAGTATATGCCCTCATCCTTTTCATTAATTACTTTTTGCAGTCAGCCGTTGGGGAGATCTTTTGAAATAATAGAAATGTTTGGATTGTCTTCATTATACCTCAGAATCATTGACAAGAAAAATGCAGCCGTGCTTTTTACTCTTAATGCTTTGCAATTGTGTATCTCGTTGAATTTGCACAAAGAAAAACATTTAAGATCTCCTGTTGTTAGCGAAAAATCTACACGGAGCATCAATAAGATTTGGTGGAGCTCTTTTTGTTTGAATCAATTTTTCAGTTCAAGAATTGCTCAACCATTGTTATTGAGTCTAAAGGAAATCAGAACGTACAACAATGAGAGACCGTCCTCCGGGACCCAATCACCAGTTATGGAAAAGGATAAATTGATGCATACTATCATTTCGAAGTACAACTTTTCATCCCTGTCTTCCATGAAGTACTATGTCGAATTAGCAAAAATATCCGATCGGATAACGCATGAGCTCTACTGTGTCAAGCTTCCATTTAATAACAAGGACTTCTTACAATCGATCTTGAATATTATTGAATCATTGGTTCAATGGGTGAACGACCTCCCGTATCACCTCAAGCTCAAACTCCCAATGATCATCAAAGACAACGCACTGACGAATCGGTTGATCTGCAGCTTGCACCTAAACTACCTCCACCACATCTACTTATCAAGCATTCCCGTGCTTCTCAACTTTGTGCGGATGAAGATCTTCAATTACTACAAGTTCAAGAGATTAATCCTCAATCCCATCATGCTCAACGAAATGCCCAAGAACATCTCCAACTTGATGCATATGCTTATCAAATCTTGCCAGTTGACCACCAACATTTTCATGACCTTGTACAGGCAGAGATACTTGAGAGTGTTTGGATTCACGGACTTGGACTTCTTGTTTAGTTGCTCGTTGGTTTTTTTGATTTGCTTGATTCTAGGCGTTGATAAAGACAAGTACTTTGCTTTTGATGAGTACTTGGAGATCTCCATGAATATCATGTATGAGATGAATATGGGAGGAAACCTTGTTGCTAAAGGCAAATTGAACCAGATCCTAGACTTGTTACGGGAGATAGAGGAGTTGTTGAAGGAGTTGGGATTGGACACATTAATAGTGCTTCTAGAGAGATTCGAAAATGTTTCCAACATATCCAATCAAAGGAAAGAGGAAGTGAACATAGATCCAACGAGTCACAACTTCAAACCTCCAGTCGTTGAGATCATTAAGCCAGTTTCGGAGAATTTGCTGCAAGATGGAGAACGGAGTGGTCTGTCAAAGAATATGCCATTGACCACACGGCAAGGTCTCGCAAACCACAAGCCGGAGCTTCAAAGCGTTCCTGGTCAGCCAAGTAATGTTCCACTTGTGCCTTTGGCTGGTGGCCTACAGACGGAGTATGGCAGTTTGCAGCCCGAACTCCAGTTTGGATTCCAGCCCATCAATGGAACCGGAGGCTTTAACTACATCACCAACGATCAACTCTACGGATTGACAGATAATACTGACCTTACTGATCTTCGCATTGCTGATGAAGATGTGGAGTTCATGAACCAGATCCTTCAGGGCTACGATAGCAGGCTATCCTGAGGGCCAAGAATAGAACACACCACACTTAAATGAGCTTGATTATGATTACTTCAACGAATGAAGTACTGGTGTTGGAGAATCTTGCAGCTAGGAGGTATGAGGGTTTGTTGGAGTACTTTGATACTGTCAAACTGGTAATAATTTCTTAAGTGCTTGTCAACAGCCTCTACTTTACTTCTCTCGGCCAAATTTACTCCAATAGATTTGCTCTATAGATGACTGGTCTGATTCGCATGGGTATTGCTATTAGATGAAATGGCCATAGCTCAATATACACTTACTCTACATGAAAGTGTTGCGAGATGCTGATGCGAATTACAGAATTGGTACCCCATGATAGTTTTCCTAGGCCAGGAAGTTTCGGCTACACTTTAATAGACATGAATGTATTGCTATGTACTTGAGAAACCTCACTTCTCGGACTCAGACGAGACGCTATTGAACCGGGACCTGCCTCCGTCTTCAGACTCCGACGACATCGATGCCATACTGTTCATCCGGGGCTTGATGGCTGTGTCCTCGTGAACCACAGACACCTTGGCAGGACTTGTGTCTGTGGGTTTGCCTCCCATGTCCTTGCGAGGAAGCCAGTAGTTGTTATTGGTTCCGTTGGTGTGGTAGCTGTAGAACTTGCCGGTATTCACCTGGGAGGAGGCACCGTAGTGGGTGTTTGTCTTGCCACCGTTGAGCTTGGTGTTGATCTTGCCAAAGAAATTGTCAAACAAATCAGGCATAGTGTGGGACGATATGGAAGTTGAAGCTAGGTAGTTGGTGGTAAAAGGTGTAATGTAAAGAGACCTGGTTTATCAGAATCGCTACGATAATGTAACTGACTACGGCTACATGTCACTCCTTTTATACACTTTTCACACTTTTCACCTTTTGGACTAGAGTGGAGAACGCTTAATAATAGCCTGGTAGGAGTGGCTCCTACTGAAGCTACTGCAAATGACCGCATAATCGCGGGGAATAATAGCACCAGGAGGATCGGAGGGGAGTGCATGTTACGTAAGTGGTCCCCACGATAAGGTGGTCCATCGAAAAGCAATTCGATGGGGCCACCACTGAAAAGCAACTAAGCCCCTGGAGGGTGACCAGCGCACATATGGTGGTCGAGACTTCCCCACTTGTGGGTGTGGAGATCTTGCAACAATCTAGGCAAATTCTACACGACTACTGGAGACCCATAGGCATACGTGGATTAAGTATTAAAAGTAAGCAAAAGGAGAACTGGTAAAAAAAGAAAGAGCAACAACAGTTCTACTACGGGAGCTGTTGCAGTCGGGCAATAAGAAGCAGGTAAATGGATAACTATGGGCATGCCTGGAGATGCTTACTCTTGACCGAAACCAACGGTTTCCTCTACGGCCAAGGTCAATTTTTGCTTCAAACTGTCGTAGTCAATGTATGGTGGCAAGTCGACTCTGTTGAAACAGGTGTGGGATTTTGGTAATTGGTTGGCTTCACCGGCCTTTTCGATGGTGAATCTTCTAGGACCATCGGAACCTTGCAAATCCTTGAAACCGTTGACAGGGATTCTGGAGGTACCAGTGGTGAATTGCAACAATCTAGCCTTCTGCTCGGAGTCCCATTCCTTGATAATCTTCCAGAACCATTGTATGACTTGATCGCTTTCTTGGTATCCTCTGTAATCGGTATGTTTCTTCCAATCCTCAACATCAATCTCGGCCAAACCACCAATCAACAATTCCAATTCTCTCTCATCGAACACATTGACCAACTCTTGAGGAATCAATTCATTGAATCCATCAATGAATGCCTTGAACTGTTCTTCGACTCTCTTGGAAATCTTCCATTCGGAGATTAACTCGACGTATTCATGCTTGTTCTCTTCGGTCACTTCTATATCTCTTCCACCTGGCTTCAAATCAACTTCAACAATCTCACCGAATCTTTCATCTTCTGCACTGAAAGTTAAATCTAATATATCTGTGATATCGTTGTCACAAATCCACTTCAAGGATCTGTAGAATTCGGCATCAACACCTTCCATATCTTGCAAGACAACCTTCTTGTGCAACATCATCTTGTACAATGCTCCCACAAAGAATGCATCCAAGAATCTTCTGTGGAAAACACCCAAACCAACAACTCTTCCGATGAACTTGAAGTAACTCAAGTGTTCAGGATTAATACCAGAGTTTGGATTGATTTGCAAGGTGTAGTTATCATGCGACGAGTATTCGAAAAGACAGTAGAATGGATTAAACATATCATGCGACAATAAGAAGAAAAATTCTCTTGAAACACCACCGTAATCCAAACCTTCTTCTCCATCGAACTTGATCATCAATCTCTTCTTCAAATCTTCTGGAGTTTGTCTCATGATTTCCTGGTACGAATCTTCGAAGATATGATCTCTTCTCACCTTAATGTGGCATTGACCTGGCAAAATACGAAGGGCAGGTTGAGATCTAAAGTAGATCACCTTTCTTCTGAAATCACGCTTGTATTGTGGTACGTTTTGGTCCAAAGATGAAGGCAATCTTGGATCATCCCAGGTTGTGGTCTTGGTGTTGTGATCAACAAAATAAACTCTTGCTGTATTGGTTAATCTCATTTCCCATCCAGATGGCAATGGGCCTAATTGACTAACTGGTTGTTGTTGAATCGTGGTGTTTGGTCCAAAGGTACGGATGTATTGCTGTCTCCTTGGATCGACCCAGGTAGTAGTTCTTGTGTTGTGATCAACGAAATATGGTCTTCCTTCATTGGTGAATCTTTGCTCCCATCCGGAAGGTAATTCACCCAATCCACTGGTGGTTGCACCAGAAGCTGCCATCGAGACAGCGGCCGCAGGGCTCACTGGAGCATTAGCACCAGTGGCATTAACAGTCACATTTCCACTAGTTGCGCTTGTAGCGGATGGAAGGTCTGGAGATTGTGGAGTCTCACCGGGCAATGTTCTTCCACGGTGCTGTCTTCTTTCGGCTTCCGTGGCAGTTTGTCTTTGTTGGCCTCTTTCCAGTTCCGATTGCTCAAGTGTTGGTCTTTGCCAAGTGGTTGTTTTGGAGTTGTGATCGACATAGTAAGTTCTTCCGAAGTTGTCAGTTCTACGTTCCCAACCTGGGGGCAATCTACCATATTGATCTTCAAAAGAGGAATAAGGCTTGTTTGCCGTTGCACCTGCGGGCTGGGAGGTGGACAGGGCCTCAGGAGCATCACCAGAAGGAGCTGCAGGTGGGGCAGCACCATTCAGTTGAGGGATGCTAGGTCTAGACGACGAGGCTGGGGCAGCAGCAGATGCCGAGTCATTGGAGTTGTGTGAGATGACCACGATGATCTTACCACTCACAGCCAAGTTTTCGTTTGATTTCTTCAAGTCTCTTGTTATGGTCTCTTCAGAGGTGGGCAAGGAGGTGTCGATGACATCGCCAATACGAACGTTGACCACACCCAAGAAACCCTGGTCCTTCTTCTTGAACTTCTTTTGGTCGAAGACCTGGATCACGAGTATCGAGTCCTCCAAGGAGTTGAAGTTGAATGTCTCGTTCCAGTAAGGATTCAAAGTCTTCTTGGCGGTCTTTGTCGTTTTGGTCTGGGAACCATCAACAGTGATCACTGCAAACGGATCTGGCTGGCGGAAGACGTCTCTCTTGTGAAGGGACTCTGCAGCCACGACCTTGACACTGATAGTGGAAGTTCTGGCCATGTTGTCGTGAGGTGATGACTAATTTGGGAGCGGGTAGTTTAGCGGTGCTGGAACAATTCAACACCGGGATCTAGTCACGGGTGCTTGATGGATGCAGGAAGAGACGTCAGTGTAGGGTGTGTCTAGATATACACAAACTCTCCCCTAAGTGTGGATGGTGGATTACGTCAAGCGTGGCCCTTTTGGTGTGTTGATGAGGTGGTGGTCGATCTAAAAGAATCTAGAGGGGCAGATGTGCGTGATGGGCTAGGCTGACAGTCGGTGCTGGAACAGGTTTGGCAACGGAGGCTGGGCGTAGAGGCGGCTTGGGGATGGTTCACACTTCTGAGCTGGGACTGGTGGAATGCGACGTTGATTTGCTGTGATTTTCAGACCCAGGGCCAGGTGCAGGAGGGGGCTGTAAGCCTCACCGCTGGCGGAGGATGGGACCAGGCTGGCAGGACAAGGGGGCTAGGGCCTGGCGGAAGGTGGCGGGTAGACTACCGGGCTCCTGGGGGAGGNCGGGTGCTACTGAGAGTGCGATGGTAGGCAATAGGGGCTAGCGACACTGACGGCTCGCAGGGAGGTGCGGCTAGGGGTTAGGACGACGGGCAGATGGAGTTTCGCGAGGCGGTCTCGGTGGCCTTTCACACCCAGGCAAGGCGCCGACAGTACACTCCATGCGCGGCGATTCAGCCGATTCAGCCGATACAGGGTCATCAACACGCCATAGACACTCCTATGGCACTGCCATCTTGTGCCAGGTGCCAGCCATGGTCATCAGACGAGTCTCTGGTGGGACTATCGTGGTAATTGGTAATTAGTGACTAAAGCTCGCAGGACTTGTGCCCGGGCGAAAAACCTGAATAGGCTGCAAAAGCCATCGCCAGAATGAGTGAGTTAGACAACGCAGGCTATCACTCTTTCGTTGCTTCTGAAGGCTCGACGGTTGAAGCAGAGTCGGATGGACAGCGACTCTTCTCGTTTGGATCTCATGGCTGAGCAAATATGGAAGGGGACACTTCAACACTGTCGCTCCCTTTGCAATGAACTCCACTACCTCGTATCCTGTTCTCCACTTCTCACCCACTTTTCTTCTCTTATCCAGGCCTAGTTCTGATCATGAATTGGGCACATGCTAGAAAAAGTTCACAGCCAGGAGGATCAGCTACTCTTATCCATACTGAAAAGTATAGGAAAATACTCACAGCACTTGGGAGAACCGCAATTGCTGGACAAAATGGAATATCCCAAATGCAATCAACCTGAAGCTGGAACGAAGTGGTGTTTCCTAAATCGAGACATATATATCCTGAAACGAGTGTATTCAGACACAGTTCCGGCAGTCCCAAGCAGTAAAAGAAAATCACCAGCATATGGAGGAACCAAAATTAGCAGCCAAGATGGAATACTACATTTCACCAACGACCAGTGGCCTCCGCTACCTATAAAACCTACTGTACGTCATGTCATCATTGTCTATGCTAGCTATGGAAGGTGGCTATCACCATTATTAGTTTAGCTGTGGAAGCTAAGGCTGTCGAAGCGAAGAAAGTCGAGGTCTTCAAGCGCCAAGGGCGTGAACGAGGGGTCCCTCTTGTGGGCAAACTCTTGCAGGTGGAACGAGAACGAAGAGTGTCTGTTCTTTTCCAAAGTGTGGATCTCCATGTCATGCTCGGTGTTGACAGTGTGAGTGGATAACGTGTCCATGGAGTCGTTAAACAAGCCGACATCAGTCTCGGGTGACGAGTCAACTGGCTGCGAGTCCACAGAGTACACTGAGTTGTTGGCGTGGACCGGTGTGAAGTGAAACTCGTTGCTGGCCGGCGAATCAGCAATAGAAGGAGCGGGATCATCGTCAAAGAGAGTCTCGCAGGACACATTGTCCACGAGCTTGCCCACGGTGTTAGGCATCTCCTTGGCATGCACAGTGTTGCGTCGTATGATCAACGGCTTGGTCTCGTGCAAGCTTTCGGCCTCAGGGTCTACCAAGGTGGCGTTGGAGTTCTCCTTGCTTGCAAGGAGCAATTGTATATCCTCCTCGCTATAGTACAACTTCTCGGAGTTAATGTTAACGCTGACTGCGTTATAGATCTTGGAGTGGACTCCAAAGAATGAGCTTCCATCGATGGAGAGCACCTTGAGATCCTCAGGATCGCTGCTGCACTGGACAGAACACATGCTGATAATGTTAGTGTTGGAGGCAGGCAAAACTGTACCACACTGTCTTTGATTGATAGTGTCTTCTAAAGAGTTCGCCCTTGGATTGAAATGTACACTATCCAAGCCTTCCTTGAGCCCGCATTCCAAAGGCGAGGATTGGGTGTTATTTGGCATATCGTTAGTGAGATCCCAGTGGATGATATTTCCGTCCCTACTCCCCGTGAAGATATCCCCGTTATTCCATTCTATGCTAGTGACTTTATCTTGATGACCATTCAAACTGGTGAAGCTTTCTTGTTTTCTGATATCCCACAACCTTACCACACCGTCACCATGCGATGATGCAAATACATTTTCGTCGTTAGGATTCCACTTGATAAGATTTGCACCCAATTTTTTTCTGTTAGCTTCATTGGCAACTGACTTGGGCATGTTAAAGCGAGGCTGTCTCAAGTCAAACAATGATACTCCAAACCTACCACAGATTCCCACGTTGTTCGAGCTTTTACTAACAGGATCGAAGTTGTAAATACCGGCAATAGTTGAAATTGAAAGTGGACTTGGCTTGCTTTGAGATTCCGTACTACGAATATCCCAGTGAAACAAGTGATTTGAGTATAATGAAAGCAACAGATCGGAGTTTAGGAAGTTCAATTTGGAGATACTTGCGTTCTTCTCATCTTCAGTCTTGTTTCTTAAATGCTTTTTGTGGTTGAAACGTTTGCAGATTTCTGCAGATGCATCTTCATCCTCCAAGTTGTCACGAACTGAAGGTACAGATATAAGATGTGCATATCCCTTGCTATTGCCTGTCACCAAATACCTTGGATTAGAGGGTAACCATTTCATACTATGAATATTGGGCAAAGAAATTGTATTATGGTGGGTCAAGTAGTTGTCAATCAAGTCTAGCTCATAAATGAACAAATTTGCCTCACTGTTTGCACTAGAAATTGCTAAAGTGGGATTGGATTCTTGATTGTTAATACTCATGGAAGTCAAGTTTAGGTTATTATCAGGAATCTTCCAATAGTTGGATTTAATATTCAAACGGTCAAGTGAACAAGATTGATTGAGGACTTGGTTATCTTTGCTGTTGTTTGGATTCAAGAGCCATGACGAACAATTATTGGTGTATGGTAAACTCTCCACACTGGCTATTGGAGAGAGTTGAGGACTGTACCGCCGGATAGCGTTGTTTCTAAACAACAAGGTAGGTTCGTAAAAGTCACCCATGGTAAGATAAGGTTCAGTTGTTCAAGCTTCTGAGGTTGATAGTTAATAGCTTAGGCCTTTCAAGGTATGGAGTTACTGGAAGGTATGTGTTGACACTCAAAAGAATACTAGTTAATGTGGGGCAAGCCATTTGTGGAAAAGGATCCTTATATATGAGGAGGTCCTTCGAAATCCACTCTACAGTAGATAAAGTTGAATTAACAACCATCTGGAGCTGGCGTACCTTCCTTTTTCAACCCTTTTCGGGCATAGTGCAAGCGCAGGTGGTGCATGGCTGGTTCAATACCCCCAGAAAAGACACATCACGTGACCAATTTTACGATAATCTTGCATATACTCACAGGCTGGCAGTAAGGTGTCTCTTTTGTGCGACCGAAGTTAGGAGATTGCAGCCCCGATTTTTCCCAAATAGGACTAGGTACAAGTCAAACAGGCAATCCACGGAAGACATTAATTGTTGGCTACATGAAAGGAGGTTTATTTTCTACTCCAAAAAATAATAAGATCCTAAAAACCGTGTATTGTCATTAAAATAAGGAATAGCTACAGGTGGACGTAAGATTGTCTGGTAATATTATCTCCCAACGTCTGGATAGCCTAAGTTATTCGATTTTTCTACCGAAGGAGAAATGAGGCTCCTGTATTGTTGTTCAAGGCACATGACCAACATAGCTATTTGGCTCGGGTTGATTGTCTGGGCGAAATAAGCAAGCGAAACCTAAGCGGGTTGCCTATCTTCTCTTATAGATACATGGTTTGAGCAACCATTCACCTTCGGGTCTCTCAGCGCGTTTTTTCTCCAACTCCTCCTTCTCTGTCTCCTGTTCAACAAATTTTTTACGTCTCTCTAATTTGGCGTTTCTTTCAGCCAAAATATCGGCAGGAGGCTTGAAAAATTCGAATCTAGTGAACATTTTATTATCGTTGTCGGTCTTTTTGTGGAAAAATCCGCAGAGCTTTAATTTCTCAACAAAATCGGCTCCGACATCCTCTGGTTTGATTGACTTAGCGCTGGCAGATTCGGCAAATCTGGATTTGATCTCAGCGATCCACAATTCTCCTCTTGGCGTCAACAACCTGTAGGCTTCGTTGATGAAATCGATGAAGTTGGTGCCCATCAACGCCAAGCAGAAAATGACGACCGTACACGAACCATCTGGCAATGGGACGTTCTTGATGTCAGCCACCGTAATTCTGTCATTGTGCTTCTTCAAGTCAAAACTGTGTACCTCCACGTCCAACGATTTTGGACCAGCATTTCTCTTTTGCTTAGTCTTCTTGGCGGTTTTGTTGTATTGTTGCACCATCTTGTTCACATCCAAGGCCAACTGGGCTTCTCCGCACCCCATATCGGCAATGACGATCTTCTTGTTAGGTAAGCCCGGCAAGCCACCTGGAGCATTAACCGCCTTGGTGGTAGCTCTGGTCTTGATCTGTTCAACGAACACATCCACGGGATTTTCAGGCCACGACTGGACTTGCGATCTGAACCCTTGGTGGTACTCATCGAACAATTCTGGTTGTTCTTTCAACAAGCGCAAGGCTTCCTGGGAGGTGGTAGTGTATAACTGCTCGTTAATCCACCTGAATCTGGATCCCGAGAGCTTGGCCATCATTTTCTTTTGTAAAGGGGTGAGGTTGGCGGTGGCCATAGGGGCCACTGGTGCCGGTTGGGCCTTTGGGGCTTCTTCCTCGACCTTTCTCTTTTTGGCAGGGGCATCTGCAGCAGACTTTTTGCCCCTGTGACTCTTCTCGACACGCTTGGGCTCTTCCTCGACCTCATCGTGCTCGTCAGCATCGCCATCGGCGTCTCTTTGTCTCTTGTGCTTCAATGCATCCACCTCGTTCTTGAATGCTTTGTCCAATTTCTTTTCCTTCTTGGACTTCTTCTTGCCGCCAAGGGCCACCTTGTCCTGCTTGATGTCCCAGCCTTCTACTTGAAATAACGCCATCTTGGTAAATGTCCTTGGGGCTACTTTTGAGATGAGATAAACTTCAAGTTTGTTCTGAAAAAAGTTCTGATGAGAGATGAGATAAGCACGCCATGGAGAAGTTCTCCACATTGCAACTCCGGCTCTACGGCTGCCCATCTGGCTCGTCTACTTAGCTTGCCATTTTCCGCTCAGACTTTTGCCTTTAAGTAAAGTTAAACAGTTTAAAATGCCATGGCTAGTAATTGGTAGTTCAAATCCACCCACTAGTGGCTATTTAATTTAGGCGAAGTCGTACCTTTTTGACTAGAATTTCTACTACTCTGCCCTGATTGCAGTACTGGACTGTGAAGATAGCTTTGTGGGTACATAATTGTAAGAGATCAGAAACGAAAATGCCCCAAAAGCCCAGCCTGTAATCCTCCTGGTGGTGACCCCACGCGTTTATCAAAATACACCAAAACATGATCTCAGCGCTACAAAAGAACCACAGTGGGTGCAATCCCAACACATACTCTACAAGTGGAATCAGCTGCTGGCCACTAGTACCACCACTGACTGCAATAGTCGAACAGCTCAGGACTTGAAAAGCGCAGCACTTCGGAAATCTTCAGGTGAACTAATAACAGGCTGGAAGACCTTCCAAGCCAGCCCATCGATAAGCTCACGACGGTATTCGATTTCTGCGACAGAATAGGCCAGAACTCTTGTTATCGACCAGTGAGTTCCACCCACAACATCACATAGAACTACTAGTAACTACTGTATCACCACGCTAGTAACTACCACAACACCACCACTAGCGACACCACAACCACAACACCACTAGTGACACCCATAGCACCACACTAGTCTGCATCACCACCCAGGATCAGTGGCGCTAGCATTGCTTCCCAGTATCATTTCCCCAAGCATATGACCCATGGTCGACCTAGCTCAAGGAGAGAGCCATATCGTGGTACGACATGGCGCCACAGAGTACTACCACCCCGGGTTGTTCCACATCTCCTCCACCTTCGAACACACGGTGCCAGTCTTCATCAGTGATATTGTCCACAGCAGGAACTTGTCCGCCATCTATGGGCCATCTGTGTGCCGTGACATCGTCATGATCAATAACCACCCCATAAAAACAGTTCGGGTGTTCGGACGGGTGATCTCCAAGAGGGAGATCTTTGCATTTGACAACACCACCAAGGACCTGTTGTTTATGTTGGAGTTGGACGACTGCTCCGGGATTGATCTGAAGATCACCATAAAGGTACGTGCTGCTGGCCTCGCCTACCCCAGACTAGATTACAACTCGGTAGATGACAAGATATTGGAGGTGGTCGGTACCACTCTGATGTACAAGAACCAGCATGAAATAACGGCCCAGGCACTTAGATGTCTAGAAAACACCACCAAGACTACGTACCTCGACCTCGAAATCACGCAATGGAAAGAACGACTAGATTACAGAGACCGAGTCCTCAAACGGCCCTGGGTCGTCCAGCCCATCCGGGGAACTAGTCCCGGCCTGATTGTGACTAGGTTCGACTACAGAGACCAAAAGAGACGAGAGGCCAAGGAAAACTTGAAGTTCAACATACACGAAGTTCCACAGCTTGCGAGAGACGATAGCTTGATTCTCTTTCGTACCGAAGGAAATCTGTCTCGCATGTCTCATGAGGTTCATGATGTCGCTTCGGACTCGGACGTCGAAATTGTCCATGTCAAAGAAGTACCGTTGCAAATAGTCACCCAGTTTCAAATATCCATTGAATTCATCAAATGGATCATACGACACGATTTCCAGACGTTCCAACTATCGCACATCTACGGCGATCCACACATATCCAACTTGCTCGAAATCCTCGTCAAATCATACCGGGCATTCGCCGATATAGGAGCGTCCGATCCCATCTACACGAAACTGTTCCATGAGCAGAAGGAAATTCTTTTCCACAGGATCAGACATGGATTAACAACTGCCAAGTTGATCAGCATTACCAGGAGCCAGAGGGTGCGCTCCAAGAACCTCAATGCATTGTACGGCCATCTCAAGCAATGCTGTGAAGTCATCAAAAACAGTATGCTAAGGGATAGAGAGACCAAGATCTTGGACGTTTCGAACTACTTGGCCACAGTCAAGAGTAGAGGTCTAGTCTCAGGAGACATAGACCTCAAGTATATCAATGCCATTGTGGACTACATTACCACTGACGTGTGGCACGAGCGAGCTCATTGGAAGTACGACCTCAAGCTTACCCAGTGGAGCTATTCACAGACATCAGTTGCTAAAGAGCTTGTGATCCTCTAAATAAAGTGCAGACAAAATGGACGAACCAACCTCATTTCGAACACTTTGAGAACTCGTTAATTCATGCCGCCTAGAGAAGTTCGGCAACCTACCACTAAATACTCAACACCACCTTCAGTGCACTGCACGATAGGCGACTATACCATAATACTAATATTGTAGTCGCGCCCGGAGATGTCCGAGTCGCTGATAAGCCATATATAATCGCAGATACTATCTCCTTCCAAACGACAATGTCCGTTGATCCCATCACCTGCCACATCCTAGATACCTCCAGAGGCAAGCCTGCTTCTGGAGTCACCTGCCAGATCTACCACATCGCGCCATTGATTGACAACCCCGAGGACGAATCGGCGTATGAAATTGGCCAAGGCAAGCCATTTGCCATGAACAGAACCGACCAGGATGGCCGCATCAAAAAGTGGGTACTTGATCCCAACCTCTCTACCGATGATAAGAACTACTTAGGAGTTACTGGCTCGGGGAGTGAGGTCCAGTGGGCTGACTTGAAGCCAGGTATCTACAAGGTGAAGTTTCTTACTGGTAAGTACTTCCACACTTTGGGTGCCAGCGAGCCATTGGCACTTGCCTCCAGAACGTTCTTCCCGTTCGTCGACATCATCTTTCAAGTGAAGAATCCTCCAGATGCTCACTACCACATTCCGTTGTTGTTGTCCAACCATAGCTATACCACCTACAGGGGAAGTTAGAGCACCCCAAAGGCCTCCATCGGATCATCTACCCACAATACTCCACCTGCTAGACAGTGGTTGTGGGGCCAGAATGAATGTAAGGACTATTGCTATATCTGTTAGCCTATATAATACCTGAGAAGTAAACCACCCAATTTAAAATAGTATGCATCTTCCATTGAATAATAACGTATCATACTCTATTGAATAATGCACCAACTAAAAATTCCCGAATGAGAATAGTAACTCCCCAACCTTGAGAGATACAAGAATCACTTTGGTATGGCTCTAAATTACTACTTGACGGCACTCATAAAATAATCGAAAATTACACTAGGACGACTCTAAGAATATATTGACTAATAAAAGAAATGAGTGTTGTTTTGGGAATTTTCGTGCACTAACATCTCGTTGCATTTGTAGTTGTTCAATTCGTTCTTGATGTTGTTGATCTCGTGAGATTCCGTCAACGTGTACTGGGTCACCGACTTATTGTAACGCTTGTACATATCGGGTGCAAATGTTTCATTGATGGATATCTTATGCGAAAAGATTACCTTCTTGCCTGATCTTGCCTCACCGCCTCTCTTGAGAATCGAGGAAGATGGAGATTCCAACTCGGTTGTCCTTTCAGTGTTTTCAAGATCCTCGAAGTTCTTGACTGCGATCTCAACGAACTTATAGTCCTTAAATTGTTTGATGTATTTCAAATGTCCAGGAAGATTTCTCCGCTGAAAGTCTGAGAGGTTGCTGAAAATTAGATTCAATTGGTCATTAGTAACCACGATAGGTCCATCCCCGGTAGGAGCGGGTATCAGATAAGACACAGGGAGAATATCGGAAGTTTCGTCGATTGTGCTCAAGTCACTATCGTCAATATTAGACCAGTTGAATTCTTTTTGTAAGAACCGAATATTATCATCAATGTAAACTTCTTCAGACATAGGTCTTCCTTGTCTGGAAAACCTTGGATTGGAATCCACAGATACAATGGCTTCGTCGTCTGCAAGTCCATCCCTGAGTTGCTGATCCTTAATTTGAGCACTTGTCAACTCATCATCCTTCAAAAATGGATCCTTAACTGAGGGGCGAGAAGTAAGGATATTCTGAGGAAGAGGGGTGTCTAGCATCTGCTCACTTTCGGTGAGTTTCTCATCAAATGTTAACATCATCTCGTCAAACATGCTGTCTTCTCTTTCGATACTAGGTAACTTAGTTAATACCGGCTCCATAAATACCGAATCAGGTCTTGGGGTAAGTCTAAGTGGCTCTGGCAGAGGTTTTGGTATAGGCTCTGGAGCTGCTTTTCTGCTAACAAACTTAGAACTTATCTTTGAGGTTTTCAAGTTTCCCAAGGAGAAAGATCTTTTGTATTTGTTTGAATTAGAAGAATGCTGAGATTTCAGGTCAGTGGCTGGTTCTTTGTGCGATCCAGTCATTGAGTAGTAGGAACCCGACTTGATTGATTTGGAATCCAATATGTTACTGACATTGACACTTCTACTGTCTACCTCAGTTTCAAAGTCAGTTTCTTGGGTAGTGTTGTATTCTGAGCTTGAAACCTTTGGTGATTTTGTAGACGAAAACATCTTTTTGAAGAATGATTTCAAGTTTGACTTCGGCTTTTGAGGGGACACATTTGTAATGGGTTTATGGGGAGACAAGTTTGACATGGATTTAGACTTGGACTTGGACTTAAGGACCTTTTGTGGTGAGTCTAATCTTGGCTCTGAAGCGGAACCAGCCGAATTTGAGCCAACACTTGTGGTTGGAGGTTTAGGAGGCTTTACATCAGGTTTAACCCCTGCGACATCAAGCATTGAACGTAGTTGAGGTTGTGAAGCAATCGAGGTTTTGGAGCCTTCGTGAATTGAATATAAGTGCAAAGATGATTGTGCTGATAAATTGTCATGCTCTTTGAATGCAGTAGGGGGTCTCAAATCATCGTGAGCACCATGAAGAAATGCAGTTGGCGTTGGAGCCGGAAGGGGCGAGTGGGGACCCGATGCATCAATTCTATGAAGAGGTGAAGATGGTCTTGGTGAATGGGTTGATAATTGTCCTTTGGAGAACTGGCCAGGAGTGAGTGGAGGAGACGTTGCGCCATTTGGCGAAATTGGTGAATCAACTTCATTATTTATAATGGAATTGAATGAACTAATGGAAGAAGATGCCCTGTCATGTTTTCTAATTTTTTGGCCACTGATAACAACAAGATCGCCTCTAGGAGGAACCTCAGCTTGATCGTCATTGAGGAAATTGTTGAACTTATCATCAGGATGGAAATCAAAGAACTTGGTATTCTTTGGGGTTGTGGGCTTGCTCACACTGGGAGAAGGATTGTGGAAGGATTTATCGTGGCTTCTGTCCTTCTTGGGTGTAGACTCGCCCAGCTGTTCCTTGACATGTACAGCGGCAATGTTCATCTGTCTATCAAATGAATCATCTTCGATGGTTGGATCCGGTAATACACTTTCGGTTCGATCAAGATTCATTCTCAAAGGATGTGATTGCACATTCCTATTTTGATTACCAACCAAGTGTAATGCCAAATTACTGCTGGGGAGAGTTGGGGCATGTTCACCGGTGGGTGAAGTCACTGGAGTAGAAAACAATAAATCATCGTCACTGTGAATCTTACTGTTAATTGTGAGTGTTGGTGCATAGACCTTGGTGGTGCTTGGTGATGGTTCGGATTGGTGAGTCTTACTTTCCGTAGCATTCGTTGTAGTCTTGGAAAGATTCTCCTCGCTGACTTCATTCAATGTGCTCAAATTACCATCGTCTTCAGCGTCGTCCGAGTCACTTGAAGGAGCATTAACTGGCACATTGGCCTGGAGATCCGTGGTTGGTTCATCTTTGACATTCTCTTTAGGAGCATTCTCGAGTGGCTCATCAATACTGTTCAAACCCTTCGCATTGGGGCTCTCGTATTGCTTCCTAATGTCTTTGATATCTTTGAACGCAATGTTTTTCTCGGGAGTAGAGGGCCCACTATTGTTGTTGGTACCACTACTTAAGGTGTTCGTCATTTTACTATCATCGATCGAAGTTGTGGGGGTGTTTGACATGGAACGGTTCAAGTTTGCATTTGACGTGACGCTGGAAGGGTCGGTTGTGGTGACAGATACCGAAGCTGTACTTGAAGTTGAGTATGCAGAAGAAGAAGAAGAATTTGATCCATCCGAATAATTTGACCCTGCGGATTGCGTTTGCAGGAGTACTTGATCGTCGTTCTTAGAATCAGATCCGTTTGTAGGAGATGCAGCACCGGAAGATCCATACTCGCTGAAAGAAGTCGAAGAGCTATTTGCGTCAGATGCTTTCAAGATATTATTCGACTGAAGCTTTTGGAGCTGGGCCAGGTTCTGGTTGTGGTTGTTGAAGCCTCCTTGTGGGTAATTGTATCTGGCACTTGAAGAGCTGACCGTGTTGGTCAAGCTGTTCTGGCGGGAATTGCTATTGAACGGAGAGGACACGTTGGAAAGCATGGAGTTAGACCTCAGATATGGGCTGTCGGAGCCTGAGTTGAGGGAGATGTTGGTGGGGGTGTCCAACTTGTTTGAGCGGATGTTTTTCACCAAGTTTTGCTTGTTCAACTGTTTGATGTTGTTGTAGGAGCTCGACTTCTGTAAACCAGTCACAGGGTTGACCGAGGGTAAGGCAGGGCTTGGCAAGGTATGCAAAGACTGAAGGGAGGAGTTTCTGGGGATAACTGAATCTTGAGAGGCCGAATTGGAACTCAAGGAATACGACGAGTGCGACGATGCAGACGAGGATGCCACAGGCAACGATTGGAGCTGGTGCTGGGGAGCCGTGGACTGGGTGTTCAACGAGTTTGCTCGCGAGTTCAGCTGGGGGGATGGGGTCACCTTAGATGGTCTGTTTCTCTTCAACGGAGTGAGTCTGGGTCTGAATATTTCACCGTTGGGGAAGTAGTAGGTGCCCCCGTTAGTCTTGTGGAACCCGTCTGTGGACGCGAGGATGGGCGACGCCGCAGGCTGGACGTTGCTGGGGACCTTTTTGATAGACTTCTTGATGAACTTGTCGTCGAGCGAGAGGAGGTTGTCGGTAGAAAGGGATCTGGCGGAGCCGTGGGTGGAGGGAGCAGCGCTGGCTGAAGTGTTGAGCGTCGATAGCGAGGTGAGCGAGTTCTTCCTCGACGAGGCGAAGGTGCCCAGGGGCTTGTCAGACATGGCAGTGGAGGATGTTTCTATACGAGGCTAGAGCCTGTTATCGTTGTTAAGGAAACGAGAGAGCACCACGGACGAGCAAGGCCTGGCGGAAGTGGTGGAATTCGAGAAGACGGCTGGTTTTGAAGCTTTCGAAGTGTTTCGAGCGGGTATGCCAAACAGGTGAGAAGCGAAGCCAGTAGCCGAGTTCAAAATGGGGTGAAAAAGCCACGGAGAGTGCCGATGAGGTCGTGGAGGCCAGACGGGGGTCGGGGGTGGGATACACGGACGCTAGGCAGGTGTGGGTGCTTTGGGAAGCGAGTGGTAGGGGGAGTGATTTCTTGTTTTGTTGTGCAGTTTGAGACACCACAGGGCGCAACTACGAGTGGTGGTGGGCAGGCTAGTACAGAGTGCGGGAACGCAGGTACGGAAGGTGCACCGTGTGTGGTGGTGCTAGGGAGAGATAGGGAGGTAGGGGAAGCGCTAGGGAGAGGTAGGGGGAGTACTAGGGGAGTACTAGCGAGTGCTAGGGGTAGTGAGTGCCAGCTGGTGCCAGTACGCCACCAGTCTTCGGTAGTCGTCAGAGCCGGCAGAGCGTGGAGGCACTGGTCCATCCGCAGCGTCCGTCAGGCCCCATTGGGCGCGATGCGTGCTGGGATTAGCGCGGTGCTGGCCCAGTGGTGCCACGCTAGGCAGCCGTTTTGACCGCAGCGCATTGATGGGTTTCTGGCGGATTCTGGCACACCGACGGATCTGCCAATTCCGGACGCTTCCGACGGACTTTTCACCACGAGGCCGGAGGTGACGATAACACTGGCAATCTTGGGCCTGTAACGCATTGCTGGCTCGGCTGTGCTCAGGGCGACCCGCGGCATCCATGCTGGTGACGGTTCGGGTGCGTAAGCGGTGACGCCAGCACCCGCCCGTTGGTTGTGCCCACCCTAAAACTGGCCACTTCGGCAAGAACCCTGCCCGTTTGGGGACGGGCTGCGACCGGTCGTGTCGCTACCGGCCCTGTTTGTACCCTGCAATGGGTGCGAAATTTGTGGTAGAGGAGGACCCTCTACCGCTACAGCCATGTCCCGCTCGTTGTTGATACTACTACTCTACTCAATGTCGGTGGTGCTGGGGGCTGTAGAAAGCCCCTCCGCTGTTACGAACCCCAGTCACTTCCGCACAACTCACGTTCGGCGCATCATCTCCGTGCCCCCATCTGATGTCCACAAACAGAGAGAGCACCCAAGCCAGTCCTCCTGGGAGGGCCCGTCGGACTCATGGCTTGCGGGCTACCTTGCCTTTGCATCCAATCACTCTTCCTCCACTTCTGGTCCCAAGTGGACTGGATTTGCCGTGGATTCCGACCGCTACGCCCCTGATACTCTCGACGTAAACCAGCTCATTGAGTACCTCACCACCGAGAAAGGGTTCCGAGCCGAGGATTTGGAGTTCTTGGCCACGGCAGACTTGGACTATGGCTTCGACGAAATCGAGAAGGAGCTCGACAAAATCAAAGACCGCCAGAACAACGGCAACAAGATCATCGATATCGGAGGAGAAGACGGAGAAAATTCTCCCAACAACGCAGCAGCCACCACGAGCATCAGTCCCTATTTGGTGTGGCTTGTACTAGGAGCTGGCCTCGCTTCGTACACTGGAATTCTCTAGGATCTCGATATTGGTAGACCCCAATCGCCACAAAACAAGCATCCACGGCGACTGGTAGGGGCTGAACCGCAACCCCACCTGCTTGACGTACTCATCGTGAAGTGGAACCCAGTCGCGACGGGAATCCTTCTTCTCGAACTTGGATCTCTTCTTTAATAATGCCCTCAACTCTTCGCTAGAATGTACGTGCGTCTTGATTTCCTTGAGAAGCTGGGGCCGTCTGCCCAAGTATCGAGCCACCCCTCTGGCAACTCCCAAATCATCGTAGGTAAAAACGTCGAGATCACGGAGTGTGAACAACGCAAACATCTTGGCTGACCACATTCCGATTCCCTTCAACTTGACCAATTCCTCGACAATCTCCTCCAACAGACTCTCGTCGTAGAACTGCGTTTTGACAAGGTTCGAAGTGGGGTCATCGAACACCTGGCTGATGTGGAGGGTGTAGTTGAGTTTCTGGCTCGAAAACCCAGCCGACTTCAACTGGTCGTAGGTGAGCTTCAAGGTATTGTGGGCGTTGATCTTGAGGTCTCCAAAAAGAGCCCTGAACTTGAGCTCCACTGCCTTGGCTGACGCCCCACTAACTTGCTGTGCCAATACTCCTGTGATTAGCGAGTACCAGTACGAAACTATGAGGTCCTCGTCACTCAACTGTGGTACTGATTGACGCTGGAAATGGGTGAAGTTCTTGTGCACGATAACCGGGTAGAGCGAGGGGTCAATGGCTACGATGTGCTGAATCCCCTTGACAAATTCGGGAGTGTGGAAGTCCACAAAGCTCTGGGGAAGACTGTGGTCCTCTGGGATGACGATATGACCCAATACGTCCTCGATGTACGGCTTGGAGACTGCCTTCTTCTTGGCCCTGGGAGCGGATGTTTTCTTGACTTTTGCCACCAGTTCGCTCGACTCAATCTTGATAGTTTCAACCACGGCACCGTTGGCCCTGGAACGGGTTCTAGCAACCATAATGGGGTAGAACGGGACGCGTTTAGATATCGTTACTTTGCCTGCTGGAAGTAACAGGATTGAAGATGGCAAATAGAAGAATGTTGCCAGTAATGAGCCAGTGACGCGTCGATTGCGAGTGCTGTATGAGTTGTGACTGTCTAGGAGGTGATTCTATGACGCGTGTCGATATGAAGCCAGATCCCTTGGTTTTATAAGAATCCTTGACTAGTGCTAATATCCCAATTCGGTATCAGTGAGATTCGTTGCTATACAGTGCAAGACATCTCTGATGACTAATTGGTGGCAACTAATACAATAGTTTGTACTAGAATGGGGCCAAGACTGTGAGCTGGACCCCGCAACAGAAATCACGGATGGCGTGTGTCACTGGTCTTGGAATTTTCTGATTTATTGGCTATTTTGGATTGTAGAACGTTACTGGGTAGGTAGGCTGTGGGTGTTTCCAAGAGTGATAATGTACGAAGGTTTGGATCTGGTAGAGCTGGAGACTCTGCT